ATTATACACAATTGATATCCTATCAAAATCATATCTCGAACTGAAATACTTCCTGCTAGAGCTAAATTTCTTTTTCAATATTTTCTTTTGACCTTATTAATTGGCAAAGTCGGAAAGGGTGAAAAAAGCTCTTGGAAATGTTCATTTTAGGGTGACAAAAGTTTTTTTTTGCTGCCTTTTTGCGCCATTTCATCGAATCTTTTTGCACCATTTTTTCTGCCTCTCCCTTTTTCTACCATTTCTTGAGCCTTTAGAATCCCAGAAAAAATGGGAGGCTGGATAAAGGGACTTTTTTTCTCAAAGGGGCTTGATAAAGGGACTTTTGCGGCCTTTTTGCGGCCATTATCCACCGTTTTGAGTTTGTCCGAGAATTCAATTTTTATAATCTTTTCTGCAATAAACTTTTTTTATGAAAAGAAAGGACGACGAATGTAACGTTGTAAAGAAGTCGGTTTGCAGGACGGCTGCAATCTCGGTTTTATTCCGCTTCAACCCAAGTACGCTCACGGACAACAATGTATGAACACGTTAGAGGAACCGGGCGAGGAGCTCAAAACGTTCAGACCTTGCGACGATCCATACTGCTATGCTATCCTGTCCGCCGTGTGTTTCAGAATTTTCATTTTTATATGGAGTTTCCAAATTGAACTCCTCGAGAGAAGTACTCACCATTGAAAAGGAACTTATTTAGTTTTGTTTTTTTGACGCAGACTTGCGGAGGACAAAAAAGTAAAAACTCCTCTGTAAATAATAACTAGGGCAGCGCAAGTGGCAATTCTAGGGAATTTTTTTCAGGAAGCTGAAGGAGGTTTGACAACAGTTTCTCGTGGATGTCATTCGAGGAAATTGGTTATGCATCATATGTTTTTTGCCGAGGATCAGGTTAATTTCAAATTTTTTTTGTTGCAAAGGATCCTGAAGTGAACTTTTCCAACGGACCTGAGAAAAAAGGGGAATGCCATAAACTATTCCGAGTAGATATAGTCAATTCGTCCCGACTTGAATGACGAGGGAGGCGGAGAAGTGTGAAGGGCGCGTAGCGTGTGCGTACGCGGTTCTTGGCACGCGTTTAATTCAAACTTTACTGACTATTTAAAAAGCTCCGTCACCGCTCTTTTTGTATTTTTTCTACTAATTTTCAATGCACAAATGAAAAAAATCAATAAGTTATCAAGAAAAAAAAATTTATATAAAGAGCGTTAAACAAGTTATTCGAATAGTCGCTGGCAGTTGAATTGAACTCCTGCCAAGAACCGCGTACTTGTCCTGCTCTATTCTCAAATTTCAAGTTCGCGCGTAAAATCGTAAAAATGCGTACCCAACGTTATATCGTTGTAGGACTCACTTTTTGTTCGCCTTCCCGGAATACCAATTCTGACTTTTTCCTGAAATAATTATAAACTAATAATGCGTCTATTTTGAAATCGCCGAAATTACTTTGAAAACGGCGTTCTAGTCGGGAAAAATTAGCTGTATTAAAGAGTTTTTTTCTTCACAGTGACCACAATCAGGCGGCAGATGTGAACAATGACCATGGCATATTGAAATTTCAGCGCGGATTCTCGAAGAAAAGTACTTTGAAAGCGTTGATATAAAAATATAGTCCAAAAAAAAAACTTTTTTTTTCTTCACAGGTGGGGTTAGTTAATCCACCTAGTGATCTTTTTCCCTCCCTGCAACATTATCATACCATCCCGATGTTGCGAAAAATAAATTGATTGAAATGAAATGAGAACCCTTTTCAAAATGTGAAAACTTGAAAAAATGAACATCAAAGGAGTTTTGCAGCACGCAAGCCTGCCACTCACTTGTTTTGGAACATTTTTTTAAACAATTTTTCGATGTTTACTATAATTCGAAGTTCGAAAAACTTTTTTTCTGCATTTTTAGAAGTTTCACAACAATTCTCGATGGAAAGAGACGGAGGTTCTAGCGAAGCAGCCAACATGCGCCGATCTGCTTTGGGACGAGCCCGCCGACAATTCCACAACCTCTATGTGTTTGGACTATTCCTATACTCAGGTGAAAAAAAAACTAAAAATAGATACCTGAAAAGAGAACTTTTCATTTTTTTTTTGAAATTTTGGCGAAATTTCGCAGAGATGTAATTAGGGGCATAGGGTCATTAGTAACGGGGTTTGGGATAGAAGCTCCTCATTGCGATTCGAACGATCTATTCAAAAAAGCACAGATGTGTGTACTTTTAAAGAAAAATGCGATTTCATTTTCCCGCTTTTTAACTTTTAAATATTCATCTCCTTTAAATCAAGGGTTTTTTCTGTGAAAAAAAAAATTAAGCCAATCGAAAAACTCACACTCTAAAAAAGGAAACACAAAGTATCGCTATCGAAACCTGTGTAAAAATCGTCATTTTTCATCAGAAAAGCATTTTGCGATCAAAACTTGCAAATTTTATATAAATAGAAATTTTTCATTACGAAAAGGAATGAAAACAAATGAAAAAGTTCAAATTTAAAAAGAAAAAAAAAAGCGAAGTCCGATAAATGGATGGTACGACAAAATCTCAAGTCCGCAAATCTCGAGGACCGTAATCTTGTGTACGCAGATCTAAAGTCCCATAATCTTGGAAAGCAAAAATCTTCCCTTTTAGTCTTCTTTATTGCACTTTATCTACTTATATTCTCTTGTTCGGATCACCGAATACAATTTCTGAAAAAATCTGTTCGCAAAAGCGTTGATTTTTGCTTTCCAAGATTGTGGTTTCCAAGATTTTGGTCTCCAAGATTTTGGTTTCCAAGATTATGGAACTTTAGATCTGCGTACACAAGATTACGGTCCTCGAGATTTGCGGACTTGAGATTTTGTCGTACCATCGATAAATGACGAAGCGTCCATAGAGCACCCTTACTGCAAAATGCGCTTTTGGCGGTAACTCAAACTTTTCTCTCCGTCTTTGATTTTTTTTTTTCTGGAAAACTGGGAACTTCTGTACGTTTGAAAGTTACCCTTTCGACAGAAAAGAAAAAGCTTCACAGAATGGCAAATTTTTTCTCTGACCCTATTTTTTACTGCCCTTATGTCTTTAAGGCATGCTGAAACCGAAGAATGAGTGAAATTTTGTCGTAGCGCCGAGATTCTCCCACGAAACGATGCGGAGCGCATTGCTGGTTTCTGCGGAACGCGCGCAAAGTGAGCTGCGGAAAGCATTGCCTACGCATTTTCCTTAAAAAAAAAGGTTGTTGCGTTGCGCAAAAACGTGGCTGGCGTTGCGCAAACCTTCTAAATTCGTCCTGGCTAGCCACGCCCCTTCGGGTTCAAGATTCTGGAACGTAATTCACAGTATGGAACTTTCTAAACGCTATAAAAAGTAAAAGACAAGTGAAAATGATATGTTTATTTTCAAATGAAATAGTACAGTGCATGGTACAGCATATTGAGGCTTATATACAGATAAAGCTAGGTTGTATGTGGCGTTCAGAAAATGTAGAGGATTGTTGCGCTTGATACCTCAGCCACGCCCACTTTTTCGCTCGCGCTCCGCACCGTTTCCTGGGAGTTTGGCGACAGTCTGTTGGACGGCGCACTTCGCGATAGCAGATGAGTCATAGTAGTGATGGAAAATAGAGCATTTACATTTTGATTTATTTGTCTCGAGGTGTAGCGAATGAATTTGGAATCAAATTATCAAAGTGAGTATTGTGTTTTCGAATCATTTTATGAATATCAAGAAATGGAATTTATAAAAGTTCTCTGGAAAACTGCAATTGATGTGTTAAATTTTGCTGGATTTATGAAAAAAAAACATGGATTTTCAAGCGTATTTTCATAAATTTCATCATTTGATAGTTATAGAATAATATAATCTGGAAGTGGGGAGCTTGCCCGAGCCAAATTACCTTTTGTCTTGCAGCACTCATACAGCGTGCAGAATTTAATCAGTATCAAATGAAAATTCAAAGTTTGTCATATATAAATGAAAATGTGTCCGATCATCGTCCTAAAGTAATCAAAAATTCAGGACGCCGAAGATGAAGACGAACCGACGATGTTCAAAGGCCGGCTATGCTGTTGCAAAGGCGGCCATCGTTGCAATGAAGAGTTCATGTGGAGCGACCCGGCCATTACGATGGTCCGATTCAGAGCAAGATCATAAACTCAATCGATAATTGTAGGACGAGCTGACGAAAAAGTTGACGCGAAGAGATTCCGGTGTTTCCTCAGAAAGCCCTCGTTTCACCAAAATCACAGTTGCAATAATCTTCTTCATCGTTCATTATTTTAATTGAAAGTTTGTTTATCCTATTATGCAAAAAAAAAACCAAGAAAGAAAGGCGCTCATCATCGCTCTTCTAATATTTTATTTAAACACATTGTACCCAATATATTGAAAGAAAGTTTTTTTCATCAAAAAAACGATGTGGAGAATGTAGTTGGTCTGACCTCATTCGTTCACTGAAACTTTTTTCAAAGTTTTTTTTTGTTTAAATATTGAGCTAACTTCAATCGCAAAAATGTTAGTACAACTTCAAGAAATTAAACAAGAGCAACTTCATCCGGTTAAACAAACAAAAAATACACGCTTCATAATGCAAAAATTCGTGAACAAAGAAAAGCAGGGCTTTGAAAATTTCAATAAAATTTTACTATGCTTTCAAGTACTTATGAATAGAGTATTTGCTTAATTTATGTCGATTGTGTGTGTTTTTTTTCCTCAATAAAAAAATAAATTACGCGATCATACAGTTTTTTTGAAAGGGCATGATTTAAAAAAAAAACAACCGTAACGTTTCAATAGCAAGTGAAATTAAATAGATGGATGAATACGGAAAATTTTTTTTTGAACGCAGTTTAACTATCCGCGCTTTTTCTCCCGTGAAATTATGAAACGGGGCAAAAAATGCAGAATGACAAATACAGTAAAAACGCTTAAAAGACTTTTCGAAGAAAAAAGAAGAACCCAGCTTGAAACTGACAATTGGAAGATGGTGACGAGTAGCACCTGGGCGCCAACATGAGAGTTCTTACAAGTTTTTTTAAAAAAAGATCCATTGACTTTTTTTTTAGAGCTGTGCATTGGGCGGAGGGTGAGGGCCGAATCAATCAGTCGCAAACGCGAACTTTTTTTGAATCTCATTTCACATTTACATCACATAGGTTTTTAAATAACACATTTTTGATCACTAACTCCCCCATTTACACATTCTGTGAAAATTTCGAGACAAAAAGGTTCAAAAAATGGCAAACTTTCGACCACTTCGCGACCGCGTTGCAACACTATGGCCAGCCCGGCCGACCCAGAGCACAACTCTGAATTTTCCGTTCGTGCAAAAATGACGTTCAATTTCTTTGGAGGTCGAGCCAGTCGCATAGAAATCTGTCAAGCGCCAAGTTGTAATCAAGGCCTTTGGAACTTCAGCCTTACTATCACTAAGAATAACTGCCGAGATAAACGCGAGACGCTGGCGGTACATTGACGAGCTCGCAAACATCTCGCATTTTTTCTCGCGCCGGTCTCGCATTTTTCTGGGCGCGAGCTCGCATTTCTCTCGCATTTTGAAAATTTCCGAAATGCAAGATAAATGCGAGGTCGCGCCCAGAAAAATGCGAGATCGCGCCCAGAAAAAAAGCGACATGTTTGCGAGTTCGTCAATGTACCGCCACCGACCTCGCGTTTATCTCGTCAGTTATTCTTAGTGATCACGGAAAATCATCGAAAACATCACAGAACAAACGAAAAGTATTAAAAAAAACAGACAAGTGGAAAAAAGCGACAAGTTATACAACAGCCCATCGTAACAGTAAAATGAAGGTCATGCCAAGCGTAACCGAGCCTTTTTGGGCGGCAGGACTGACTGTGGCTCTCGGCACGGCTAGAGGAACGTTTTCTGGCCAACACTCGTCGCAGGAATCCGATAAGGATCGAACTTGTTTCATCGAATACGCCATTTTCAACTGAAAACACTATTCACCAACACAATTGACATTTTTGAATAAATATACAAATTTTATTTCAAAAACAACTTTCAAATCGATAACAATCTGAAAAATATTGTCAATTAGATTTGAAGTGTGTCTTTATGAGCTCGGAGATTGCGAATTTTTGAAAATGCAATTATGATGATAGAAAAATTTTCTTTTTCTGTGCGCAAAATACGTATCTCGAATCATAAACCTGTTGTTCGGGATCATAATAATCGACGAGCTTCATTTGCGCAGGTTTTTGTTCGGCCACATGATAAAGCATATCAGAATACAGCGATAGACATACTGGCGATCCGCCAATCTTAAAAAAATAACTTTAATAAAAGGAAAACAATTGACCACATGAAAAATAAGTTTGTTTCTAAGTTTCAATTGATTTTCAAAGATTTTTTAACATTAAAGTTTCACTAAAAAGAAAGTCAGGTTTTCTTCACGTTTGGGAATTTCTCAAACACCAGAAAAATTGGCCACGTAACAGAAGAAGCCTGAGAGTTTCAACCTGCACAACATTTTCGAGAAATGAGGACTCAAATTATCAAAATGAACTCCTTCAACGGGTTTTGAGCTTTTTTTGAGGTGTCCTTTCAAAAATAGGAATTGAGCAGATTGAGAGTTTCAGGCTTTCTGGTGTTTACTGGTATATCAATGAGTTTTATGACCAATTTTCATGAACTTCTAAACCGCAAACTGAAATTATCTTCCTTATTGGGTGCCATTAGAAATAAAAGAAGTAAATGGGATACAACACAAATAAGAGAAATAGCTATAGTCATTTCACAGCTAGCTTGGGGCGCAAAGAGGCGGGGACTGTCTGCGCTCTCTACCAACCAGGCATTATCTCTTCTACTATCGTGTCAGGACCAATTTTTCGATGGAACAAGCCAGCCGTGAATGAACTATAGCCCGTTCACGGCTGGCTTGGGACAGCGAACGTGCGGTTTTACTTGCGCGGCGCTGGTAGATCATGGCGGTCATATATGCGCCTTTAATAAGAGCCTCATTTGTTGAATTATTTTTATTTCTATTGAGTTTACTTTAAGTTTACAATCATTTCATTGGTTTTTAGATTTTCATAAATTGGCCAAATCATAAGAGAAAAATAAATTAGTCATAAAATGGGGCTTCGATGGAAGGCACATGAATAGTCTCCATGATCTACCTTCGCCGCGAAAATCAAACCGCCCATTCGCCGTCCCAAGCCAGCCGTGAACGGGCTATATAACCCTTCCCAAAGCGCAACGTGACGGGAAGTTAACGTTTATCCAACTCTTATGCTTCTATTTTTGAAAAAATTTCCCTGTTTGCAAAAACCGACCGGATTGAAATAAACATTCATCACAGTGTCGTCATTGTCCAGTTCAACTCGTTGCAAATCGTCGACCGAAGTTAAATGCGGCATTTGCTCGTTGTCGAATCTCAAACAGTTGAAGTTATCAATTTTTGGGAAAAATTTGCGAAAACGTATTAAATTTTGTCGATTATACAGGAGCCTGTCAAAGTATAGCTACACCCCTTCACCTTATTCTAGAGCCACTTTAAAAATTCAAAACTTTCGGTCCTTTTTTGTATTCCAAAGAGTTTCTACTAGAACATTTTTTATGGGAGGTGGCAGTGAGAAGAGGGCTCATTAGAATTGAATACACATTTTTTCGAAAAACAGATGTCACACCCATTATTATGGACTATGTCGCAGCGGGATTAAGGCTACGCCTTTTAATTCATTTAATCATAGAAGACTAAAATAAAGCCATATGTTTTCAACTCCAAAATTATAAGATTTAGAGCTATATGGGTGCTAAAACCCGACGAGATCGAAGCAACATTTTGACGACATCGCGGCAAGAAATTTTGACTATAGCGCCCCGCTGCGATATATTCACACAGGCAAAGTCCAAACGGACTTAAAAAGAAGAGTCTCAAGCCCCTTTTTGAGTCCCTAAAAATGTGTCAAAGTTTCTCGAAATCTCCTTTCTTCCGCTTCTTTTTCTTTTTTTTCCTTATTAAAAGGTATAGAAAAAAAGCGTTTTTTTTTTCGAAATTTGATAAAAGAAAGTTGTTCCCAACCGATATCCACTCAATGCTTCGACTTCAGCCAGAGCCATGTTCGATTTGCCGGTTCGCGTATAACTGTAAAGAATGCACGTTTCGCAGCCAAATGACCGAATTATTAGTCCAGGGAAAAGAAAAAATGAACTGACTTGCAGCACAAATCCAGCTGCATTCGGCTTCCACCCCGCAATTCTTTCAGCTCTTTTGTACAGAAAAACGGAGCATCGTTGTTCAATTGATTACGGTGATATGAATATGAGATCTAAAGTACAAAATGAGATAGAACAGTTCATAGTCGATCGCTAATTTTTTTTTCGAGATAAAGATGCAAAAAATTAAATGGGAACATACATTCTTATCACACAAGAAGTGAAAAACATTATCAAACTTTTCCATTCATACCAAGTATGAAAATATCTACAAAATTTCATGCGTAAAATTTTCCGCTCTCACAATTTGATTATTTTTTAAGCCCTGAGTGATCTTCAAAGCCGGAAAACAACGATCTTCGGACCGCCGTACTAGGGAATGTTTTTCACTAGGATTTTTTGAAAAACTTTCTCTAGTTAGGAGAAGCTAATCGCAGGAACGTAAATTTGTTAGAGAACCACTAATTATTCGTGACAGTTAGACGTTTTCGTAGTTAATACTATCGTCGATTCTAGCCATTTGATATCATTTTCACAATATTTTTTTCTGATGGCAAAAAAACCTGAACGAAGGCCAATCCTTCGCCTGTTGCGTTCAACACCACTTCATCATTGATATTCGACAGCTGTAAATTTTTTATCACTAAAAAAATGCTGACAAGAGAGGTCATTTTACTTTCCAGTTGGGATTTTCCTGAAAATTGGCTGGAACACTTTTTGATGTACCAGAAGAAAATTCTGAAGAAAAGAAAATCTGATAAAATGAGGGTATTATGAAAAAAAAGACCAGCGAAGATCGAACGACGACTTTTCCGATTTTTTCATAGCGCTAGGGAACTATCCGAGGGAGAAGTTTCCGATTTTTTTTTCTCGATAAATTCTTCATTTTGAATATTTATATATAAAGTAGGTAGTTGAAAAAAGAGAAAAAAGTCGAAAAGGGATTCGCCGGAAACTTCTCCGTCGGTAAGTTCCCTAACGATATGAAGTCGGAAAACTCGCCGTTCGATACGTTGGCTTTTTTCATGCCACCAAAGGAGCAACTTTGGGGCTCTAAACCCTTGTTTCTTGAGACCTAGGAAGTTGTGCAAGTTGAGACTTTCAGAATCTTCTTCTGGTACATCAAGAAGTGTTCTGGCCAATTTTCAGGAAGTTCCCGCTCGCAAAGTAAAAGGACTTCCCCCTGAGTTTTTTTTTTTAATTTTGGAAAAAACCTATACAGTAAGAATAGATGGGCGAGTACAGAACTCATTCAGCCCGAGAGGAAGGATTGGCTTACAAGAATTGAAAACAACTAGGTATAAAATCCATTTTCGACCCCAGGAAGGTACTTTTGGCCACAGTAATACAAGTTTCAGCCTCAGGGAGGTGTTATCAACTATGATTCAGGTAATCTTGGGAGGAGAGGTCGGCGGCCTCTAGAAATGGTCTGACCATATATTACAGTAAAGCAAAAGTTTCTCCAAATATCTGTGAAAAAAAAAATCGAAAAAGACCTCGAAACTCTGTAAAACGATAGAGTTGTCGTTAGATACATTGAACGAGTGGGAATCGTGTCCATTGATTACTGAAACACGGACGCTTTTCATCGGCGCGTAGGTCTTGCTCGCATAGGCCGCCAGAGCTTGCAGAGCCATTACGGTGTCCTAAAATGAGAGGTCACTTGAAAAAAATTCTAAAAATTCCATTTTTTTGTTCTTCTGATAATATAATCTGTAGCTAAAAAAATCTCTATACTTAGGGACCGTCAACGATCTTTCAAAAAAATGAACGTACAATGAAAAAAAAAAATGAATGGAACCTATAAAGTGAGTAGTGAGTTTCAATAAAAATTTTGAGAAAATTCAACCGAAAAATTTGAGACAAAAAATAAAATAAAAAAGATAATTTTTGAGAATTATTTAGCCTTGAAAAATTGGTAAAGCAGGATTCAATGTGCGAAGCTAAAAAAATGCAACTCGCCTCCTTATTCTTTGTTTTTTTTTTTTGGGTTTCCCGATTTGCGATTCTGCGAAACACTAACACTGATTCGAACAGATAAAAACAGTTTAAAAATATCTGATTATCAAAAAAAACTGTCTTTGCACACCAGTTCAGACCCACCGGGACCCCCGTCCGGTTTGCAGTGCGCCGTCTCCGCTAGCCATACTAGACCACTTTTAACCTCATTTTATATTTGATATTTTCGACATTAAAAGCTGAGAAATTACAAAAAAAAATTCTATTTTATTCCTTATTCTCGGATAACCAGTTTCAAGAACTTTGCAACTAAAAAACGCACTAGTCTGCAGCTGTTGTAAGTGACTACATTGCAAATTGCAATTCACTTGCTTGCATGGAGTTCGCAGTTGCAAATCACTTGCGAATCACACGCAAAATTCGAAAAATTTAAAGCGTCGTTTTAACTGTCGAGCTGCATTTTGGTTGCATGCAGGAAGTTGGCGAAGATTATTAATTAACAGCAATATTTTCTGCTAATTGTCTGAAGTCGAAGAGGAGTCGAAGCGCCATTTTTCCATCGTTGCAGTAACAGTCCCGACGTTTATCCACTGAGCTAAAGGCTCGCGCGCGTGCGAAAGCTACTTTTGCCATATCGCATGGGGCAGTTTGCATAACACGCTGAAAAGCTTTTCAAATAAAAGCTGTTATGTTACACCTCTCATGGACTTAGCAAAAAAAAATAGAAGAACTCAAAAATGCATTTCGCTGCAGTTCTCATACTAGGGAACTAGGCGAACTTGTATTCGCGAACCGAGTTCAAACATCGTTGGTTCATAGACCTAGGTCACGATACTTGGAACAAGAGATATTATCTGCTAAACCCGAAGAGGTACCGGAAAAAATCCTTTACTAAATGGGCAGATTAGGCTCGAAAATTTTCAGAATACTGCTTTTACATTATTTTATATTTTATTGCGATCGCCTTGAATGATTCGATTTTATATAATCTGTTCAGATAGAGAAGACTTTCAATTTTCATAATCCGTTCAGTTTTTGGAAAAAGGTCTGCTAAGGAAAAAGTTATGGGCAAAAAAGTATCACGCCTGGCGTGCAACTGATGGGCTCGACTTTCACGGTTTACCCGCTGCCGCGTGCTTTCTTTATAATATTTTTTGCGCATGGGTCCTACAACGAGAAAGCGCGAAAAATTTATATTTTGCAATTATTTGGGCATTGTTAAACCAAAATTTCAAAATCGCGCGTTAAAGTCGCTATCTCTTTGCAGGTGCGTTGACTTGGCTCGCGAAATTCTAGTTTTGCGTATTTTTGAAATCGCTGGAATCATTTCGTTCCCGGCATTAGATTTTAAGCCAATTCATCGAAAACTGAGAAAATGATTTGCAATGGAGCTGAAAACTCGATGCAGGAAACTTGCAAAAGGCTGATTTTCAAGTTGCAATCGAGTTGTGTGCAAATGTTCACAGGTCAACTGGAAATATGATTTTTGTTTAACTTCAGACTTTTGATGAAATGAAATTACCCAAAAAAACTTTACACGGCTGCGGCTTTTCAATCAAAATTTTCAAATCCCCGTAGAAAGTTTTTTTTCTAATTTTCTAATTTTTTTCTTTTTCAAAAATATTAAAGACGGCTTGAAAAAAAGCGACACTATTCCCTATATTACAGCCTGTGTACCACGACTTGAAATTTCACCGAACGACATTCCGCTATGCCGCTGCGCGCCTTTGCGAACCTTGGTCGCGCTTTTCATTTTTTTTTTTCTTTTATTAAGGAACTCTACTCAGCAATTACAATCCATTGAAAGCGTGACCTAGATTCGAAAGACGCTTCGCGAACACACGCAGCGGAACAGCGGAATGTCGTTCCGTGAAATTTCAAGTCTTGGCACACAGACCATACGATATAATAATTTCCAAAGTAAAAGGGAGCAAGATTCACTTTTGAGGTTTGCGAATAATGGAGTTTTTGGATATTCTGGCTTATTTGGTTTTTTAGAAACCTCAAAAATGGAAAGATAGTCGTAAAAGTTTTTGAAATAGATTGAATTAAAGGCATAGGGGCAGTAAAAAACGGTGTTTTAGTTCAAAGCAGTACTTTGTAGAGTTTTTCATTGCGAATCGAACGGTGAACTTTGAAACGTACCAAACTTCCTAGTTTTGGAGAAAAAGTAATTCAAAGTCGGAGAGAGGGAAGTTTGAGTTCCCGCAAAAAGAGCACTTTGCAGTAAAGTTGCTCTATGGACAACAGGCTTCGCCATCTTCCGGATTTTCGCTTTTTTCTTCGTTTCTTTCAATTTTCAATTTTTTCTGTTGTCACCAAAGTTCTTTTCGTCACAAAAGCTTTCTATTCATGAATAATTTGCAAACTTTGATCGCAAAAACGCTTCTTTGGTGAAAAATGATGATTTCACACAGGTTTCGATTGGGATAACATTATTTTGTATTTTCTTTATTATCGGTGTGTGTTTTTTGTTTGACTAAATGTTTTTTCAGAGAAAAAACCCTTAATTTGAAGCAGATACCCGGTTATTTCTGACAAAATGCGAGTCTAATGAGACGTCCGTAACATCGCGTGCACGGCTACTGTAAACATTTGTCTGCATACCGATCCAAAGCTTTTTTCAAAAATAAAGGCGGGAAAGTAAAATCGCGTTTTTCTTCTAAAGTGGTCACATATTTAATTTTTTTGAGTACACCATTCGATTCGGAAAGAAAAACTATATACGATACTGCTTTCACCTGAAACCCCATTTTTTTACTGCCCCTATGCCTTTAAATGAGAAACGTACTACATGAAAAATTTTAACTTATGACCATTTCGAATGGCCGTTTATTTCGAGAAAAAAAGGTGTTTGGAAACTTGGACTTTGAACCGAGTCAAAAAGTAATATATTTTGAAAAAAAAATTGTGTTTCTCGAAAAAAAAAATTTGAGCAATGTAAAAAATCACGATTGAAACGCATTGTCGAGTTCGCATTCTCAGAAAAAATTTTATCAAATTTTTTGAGTTCGAAAAATATTCCTATTTCTCATAAACTTGCAAACAATCTGCAAACAACTTGTTTGCAACTCAAAAAAGGTCGAACGATTCGGTTTCAAGTTCCATGCAACTAGTTTGCAGCTAAAATGCAGACTTGCAATTCACTTGCAAAACCCTTGTTCGGCCAAAAATTGCAACCTAGTTGCAATTTACCCCCTGCCGGGTTGCAAATCAGTGTGTTTCTCGTTGCAAACTGCAAACTTTCTGCAGTTTGTATGCAAACTAGTCTGTGCTGAAGTGCAAAGCTCTTGCAATTGGTTATCCGAGTTAAGGACGGATTTTTCAAATTTGCCCATTTTTTGGACTTGCTGGCACTGCCAGAGAGACCAAATTTTTAAAACTTAATTTCTATCTATGAACGTTCTAATTGTGTTTTCTTTCAAATTTGTCTATTTTTTCGTTAAAAAAAAACGCTGTCAAAGAAGATATCGCCCAAAAACCGCGACCAGTGTATGCACAATTTAAACCTACCTACAGTGCACAAAACCGAACGGGCTAAACAGATGTGTTTGAAATAATTTCGAAAAGCATTTCGACGCGCAGATTTGTTCTTTTCGCATGCCCGCCCTCGTAGAACTACATACGATTTTTGTTTTTAAACACTTTTTAGACATTTTTTTTTCAAACTTAGCCAAACCTGCTTTTTCAAGTTTCGGCTTCCAAAGTTAGAAAAGTTGCTTATATGTTATACCTTGTCCAAGAATATTTTGCTACACAGCATTTTTTCTTTTGAAAAGATACCTGGGTCGAGGTGAATCCACCCAAAGCGTTTCTCTGCGAGCTCAGCCATCGGACCAGGGGCAAGCTCTGATAGAAAAAAAAAAGTTGATATAGAACCGAGAAACATCAGCCGCCACAAAAAACCTTAACCGTGTTGTTGTTGGAGAGAAAAGCCAACAAAGCGTAGGCGGTCATTTCAACATCGGCCGGCGACGATTGGAACATGTAGGCCGAAGAATCCTTGGGCTTCTCTTGCTTGGCGTTAGACAGATGCAGCTGGCCGTCTGAACTCGCCCAAATCAAAATCTCGACTTTCGCCCATCGAGATCACACAGTGTTCCCAAACGGGCGACAGCTGTGGTTAGTAGGCGGGCTCGATTGCAAAAGCGGCGCGGTTTTTGCAATAGGAGCGCGGGGATGAGAGTCGAGTTTTGTGGATTTAGTGGTTGTAAAAAGAGATCTTGTTAAACGAATTTTTAGAACGCATTCAATGTGAGAAACTACGAAGATATCCAAAAAATACGCAAGAAAATAAGAAAAAAAAATTAATAAAAGTGAATGAATTTTTTTGGGTTGACTCGCGCGGCATCGCGTCGCGTTAGAAGGAACTCGCGTTTCCGCCCTTTTTTTCGCCTTTTTTGGAACACTGTGCGATCTCATCTGCTTTCCTTTTTGTTTTGCTCTTGTGTTAAAAGATCCAGATCTTTTGTCCCAATATAAAACAATATAAAAACCTACCCTTGTCTTCGATGAACAGCTTCTGGAGCATGTCGAGAGCGACGCTTGCCTGTGGACTTCCAGCCATATGCAAGGCGTATGTGGTCACCGCCAGAGAGTAAGAATCGTTTGTCAACGACGGAAGGTGCTTCTCAAGGTGCGCTACCGCTTTTTCGTTTCGCACCTGTTTGAGGTAAGTTCTGTCAGCATCAGCGGCATTTCAAAACTCACTCCGTTCTCGAGCAACGCAATCAGAACGTAGGAAGTGAGAGCGAGGCCGCCGTCCTGGGCCCCGCCTTGCATATCCTTGTGATGTATCTCGCCATGCTCAGCAAATGCCCCATTTTCCTGAAGCGCGTACTCAAAAACTCCCTTGAGCTCTCCATATCTAGTCAGTTCCTCCCGAATTGAAAGGCGAGATAGGTAGAATGGGAAGGGAGACGCGTTGCGTGTGCGACGCGGTTTTTTGAAGGGGAATTCTAAGTCAAAAAAGACAACATTTTTTTGTTATTCAAAAAAATTGTTTATGATTTGAAAAAACTTCTTATTTTCTGCATTTTTCCACTGTTGAGAGTTCGATCTCGAGTTTCCACCTTAAAAGCCGCGTCGCTTGCGCAACGCTTCGAGCTTGTCAACCTGCCCTTCTCGTATAGTCTTTTCAGATTTCAAATGTCAAGTCCTCGCTGAAGCTGAAGCTCCACCCCCTAATAGTGCTATAAACCAATCAGAGAGCAAGCTATCCACAAAGCGTTCTCGAATGACGTCATTCTACTTGACATTCAAAATATGAACGGACTATATTTCAAGCCGTGAAACGTTCACTATAAAATCACGATTTTTTCAATCGATTTCTCACCATTTGCTGATTATTCAGGAAAGCAATGGAAACAGTAGTGATCTTGGGGTCAATATAGACGAAATTCTTGGCATGGGCGAACGATCGAACAACAAAGGCGGTGAGCCACGTCGAACCAAACTTGTCACTTTCGCCGAACGCCGAGAATGAGTTGTCGTTTCTTCTGAAAGACATTAAACCCCTTGCATCATTCAACTTGAAATTTTCTACTTGTAGGTGAGCTCCCGTTGAACGCCTTGTTCGATGTATTTGATCGCTTTGGCTTCAAGGTTGGGCTCTCGGCGATTTGTAGACCTCAGGTACTTGACGACCAGGATGTTCGGCACCAGATTCAACATGTTCTGCTCACCGCAACCAAACGGCATCCGCACCAGTTTTTCCGCGTTTGACAGTACCGGTCCCATGATATCTCCTTCAAACAAAACTCGTTAATTTTTCTTTCCATCAATGTGAACTGAAAGTCATTTTTTTACTTGCATTATTTGAATATGACAACATCAATGAGATAATATATAGAAGAGGGATAAGGTTAAACAAATTCAGGAAAGCTTCTAAAAAAGAGAAGGGCAATCTCAGTCAGTTTCTTATCGAAAGTTGAAATCATTCAGTATTACAGCCGTCAATTTCAACCGTTCAATATTCTTTCAACAGGTGACCTGATTTCAAAAATTTTCAGTAGTTGATTTTCAACAGGTCGTTTTTTTTATTACACGTTCTCCGAGAAATCCGAGGAACTGTAGTGAATCGTTGGTACAATAGTTTGAAGTTTCGTTTCGAGAAATCAAAATTATTCTCAGAGTTACTAGACACAGTGTGTAAACGTTTAGGCTAGTTACTTTGAGGCCCCTCACTGGGCTACGGTAGGATTTTTAGTGAAAGGGCCCTTCACTAGGTTACGGTAGAACTTTTAGTGAAAAATTCTATTTTTCTCCTAGTTGACCAGTTTACCTTCAAATCTTTTTTTGAAACAGAAGACGAAAAAAAAAAGTTAAAACGGTTCAAAACTTGATTTTGGCGACTATATCCAGTACTCTGGTTGGACTTTAACTGTTTCAGTTTCTAAAAATCATCCCGGAATATTAAAAATCCACTAGATTTTCGACTTTTTCTTTTGATAAAGTAGAAAAACACACCGATCACATCAACACGAGCTCTTTGAGACCCTTCGACGACATCATCTGGCCAAATAAAACGAATAGTCTTCTCAAACTCGGTTGAATTGCCGAAATCCACGACAAGAGGGATGTTACGATCCACACGGAATCCTTCGGGCTGCAACACGTGGATAGCTCAAGGAGTTTCGCCGAAATTTTTCGAAACCTCGACGCGAAGGGGCATTTCAACCGCATCCCCAGCTTGGTTGGCAATGGCCGAGACATGAATGGGAACGAGGCCGATCCTCGACGGTAGAATCGGGAAATAGACTGCTTTCGAAGCACCTCCGCCTGCCACAGAGACGATCCGCACATTTGAGGAGCTTTTGTCCTCTCTGAAAAAAAGCTTTTCGGTTTTCGCTTAGATGAAACCATGAATTGATTGCAAGCAATGTTAATAGTACATTGTTCTAAAGATTTTAACCCACCTCTGACTTTTGCTACAAGCTTGAATCCCCACATGGAATTTTTTCACGTAAATTTTTTCACGTTCGGTCGAACCTTTCCTTTGATTCAGATCATCCAAAGCAATTTCAGCAAACCCCGTTTTACATTAGACGAGTTATTTCTAATCTCTTCGCTCTCCACAAGATTTTCTCTGGTCATGGTCATCTTTTTCCTCAATTCGAAAATTTTGCCCTTCGATCCAATTTAGGGCGAAATGTTTTTTTCTTTCTCTGCATTCAAATTGTAGATCGAAGTGAACTCGTTGGGGTTCACAGTGTAAATGAACTATTATTAATAGAATGAAATGTAATTTGTTTTTTTTTTCAAGTAAAATAGGTGTTTCTAGACTAGTATTAAGTGATTTTCTTTAGCGAGTACCTTTTCTGAATGGACCCATCCTTGTTGAGCAGGTCGAAGCCAGAGTTTTCATCATGCCGTAAAGTAACGGTAACCTGTATTCACTTTAAAAGTTTAAAATCTGAAAAGAATTCCGCACGTCCTGCTCCCTTTCCATGTAATTGAAGACCAAGATTTGAAGTGCAAACTTCTCGCCGCGTTTTACAGCATACGGAAGGTTGAGACGAATGAAAAACGGTCGGAAAACACGAAGCTGAAAATTTTTATGAAACTTTTTTTTTCAATACAAAGCTTTGAAATAATGGTAAATATTAATATTATAGACTAGGAAACTACTCGGACTCGGGGACGCGTATCGAGTTGAAACTTCTGTGGCTTGTAGAACTACATAAAAACTATCAGAAACAAAAGAGACTATCTGCTAGAATGCATAGGCTTTTAGAAAAAAAAGCTTCTCGAAGAAATTCAGGAAGAGTCCTGAACACACCTCCCTCTCTCACCAAGGTGGCCTGGCGCAGTGGTTTGAGGGTCATTCTCATGATTGACTTTTTTGAGTAGGTTCGATTCGTCTCGAACGCAAATCTTTTTTGCATTTCCCTTAACGACCAAAAAACTTTTAGGGGTCATGAAACTCATGTAATAGCTTTTCTTTTGATTTATTTGGTTTTCAAAAAAGTCAAATGGGTAAAAAAATATCCAGTGAAAATAAGATGCATGTAAACCTTTTCATCAGATATCATGAGATTTTTTTTTGAATAGCTCTAAAAAAATTAAATATAGATGGATAAATATTCTAAACACTTTAGATTCGGTATTTTCAAATCTTTTTTGTCTTTAAAAACTGCAAAACTGATTTGCACTTTACAGGAATTGAACCTTTTCAAAAAAGTCAATCATGAGACCAACAATCTAGTCACTGATTCACGCCACCTCGGTGAGAGAGGAAGATCAATGCGGGTAAAAGACTCTTCAGATGATCTCTTTGTTTTCAACAGTTCCTATCTAGGTCTATAAGTCACAGAAGTTTGAACTCGATATTCGTCCCAGTAGTACCCTAGTGAGAAACTCTACCTTCGTGGTAGAAGGAGCAACGCCGAGACCCGACTGTTCGCTGACGGCGAAAGCGCTGGCAACCCACGAAGTAATCGTGTCCGGAGCCTTGCTCTCGTATTCAACTTCGCCGTTCTCCCTAGAAAAATTCTTAATTATTTCACCAGTTTTGACCAGAATAACTGACTTTCAAATTGAACACTATTGTAAAAGGACTGTTTTTAAATATTAAAAAAATGTTGCAAACTGCTAGAAAAGGGTGTTCATATCTGGCTGGACGCAAGTGGAGCCAGCGGTACTATACCGTGGAAATTTATTGAAAAAGAATCTATCGAAAAGATTCAAGGTCATACATGGGCAGACCGAACTTTAGACCCCCCGACCCCTCCAAGGAAATTTTTTCAAAATATCAACCTTTTTCCCAATGATTTTCGTAATCACTGAGAGTACCACCTTTTCTTGAAGTTTAAGGTTTTCTTGTTTATAAAACCATTATACACACGGAAGTACAACTTTCTCACATAAATAGAGAAAATTATAAAACTTTGAACATTTTCCGTACCAAAAATGGACTGGTCCGGCTCCCTTCTTGAAAAAATTTCAAAAACCCCTCTGTTGTCCTTTTCAGTTTTTTCGATTCAAAGTTCCCTATAACACATATGAGTACCAAAAATGAAACTTTCACTCGAAAATCCGAGGAACCAAGAGGATTTGAACATTTTTGAAACCAATAATTGGACGGTCCAGGGAGTTTTGATAAGTTGAAAACCCCTATTTTCGTCTTTTCCAGAGTTCGTAAAGCAAATTCTTAACGTACAAGTCCGCAAAAAAGCCGTCAGAAAAAACTAGAAAAACTCCAGTATCTTATCTTTAAAGGGTATTCAGCGAAAAAAAAGAAAATTTTAATTTGAAAGAAACGAAAAAGGCGAAAACCGAGAAATGGCGAATTTTTACATAGAGCAAATTACCTGCAAAGCAGGGTTTTGACAGGAATTCAAGCTATTTTTCCAGACTTTCAATTATTTTCCTTCAAAACTATAAATGGACAGACCGAACTTCAGGGCCGCCGACCCCACTCTGTTCTAGAGAATTTCTTAATGTCAACCTCTTTCTCTGACTGACCGAATGTGAACCTTGGGCATGTGTGTTCATACTTGCGTACTACGCACTGCATCATCTTTAGTTATAAGTAGGTAACCACTAGAATATGGTCTAAAAAGAAGGAAAAACGTAACGCCCTTTTTTTTCCAACCCTGCCCAAATGGCGCAGAACAAGTCTGCGCCTAATTCCGACATGCAGTATATAGCGTATTCACGGTTAGCAAAAAAAGCGTGGCCTGTCTGCGCTCTCTACTAAGCAAACTGTCGTTTTTCTTATGGTGTCAGAACCCTTGTTTCAATGGCTCAAGCTAGCCATTAATCAGCTATGTCGTGTCAGTGAACGTTCGAGGTTTGGCAAAGTTAAAAAAAAATCGAATTATCATCAGAAAACATTTTCCTCCGCCAATCGGAGCCTTATCGCTCGCTAGTAAAAAAAAATTTACTTTGATGCCAAATCTTTGTGAATCCAGGTTTCTGGGAATTCTCTCCGAACCACGAGGTCAATCTCAGCTGATTTTCCTTCGGGTGCATAAGCGCCGGCATCGCCTTGTATCCTCATTCCGTTGTCGTACATGGCGTACATCAACACTGAGAAAATATTCCTCATAGTAAGACAATTTCGAAACTTATGAAAATCAGATTGAGTGCGACGAGAAGGAAAAATATTAAAAACTAGCAGAAAAACACGAAAAAAATTACAAGAATGCTCTCTCAAAACATTAAAAATATTAGTCAATGAAAAAAGTTTCACATAACTCAAACAGAATTTGAAAATATTTTAGTTATTGCATTCAGAAAGGTAATGTAAGGCACACTCAAAAAAGCTTCAACATCGAAGAGCACTTTAATGTTAGTATATTTTCACATCGCAGAGATCTCATACCATGATGACTCATAGTAAATACCAAAAAAAAAACCCCGCAAAACATAATAAATCTATAATTACTTCAAAAGCGGCAAAAAATTTTTTTATTATCTACATGGCCCTCGAAACGTCTTTACAACAGTACACTTTGCGACTGGAGTCGTCCAAAAATTCTTCAGCTCTTTTTTTAGTTAATTAAATGGAAAAAAAAACTGAATCAGTCTTGAAACAATTTTTAAAATTTCTAAAACTAATGAAAACCACAAAGATCCTAGCACCACCGACTTCGATAACACAAGCGGTATTTTCTTTTACCGTAAATCTAGCAAAAAAATTATAGTATTCTTACGTTGCCGTTAACTTTCCAAAAATCCACGTCTCTGGGAAAAGGGTTCTCGTGACGACTTGTTGCGTTTGCGTTGGTGCCCCCGCCTTTTCCACAGACATTCCAAGTTTGAAGAACTTCCTCATCACAACTAAAAAAAATACTCTAACAAGTTTTGAAATTTCTGGAGGACAAAAGAGAAAAGCTTAGAATTCCGTGAGGAGGCGGCGTGTGCAGGAAAAGTTAAAGCAGTGTATTGGGTTAAAATTGAAAAAAAAAAAACGAAAAAGCTGTCCAAACCATCTATAAGGTTATAGCCAAGATCGGAAAGACGTTCGAGACGATTTTCTGATTGAGAAGACTTTCGAAACGAAAAACTTTCTAAGTTTTCTCTTTATATCTATATCTTTTTCTTTATATATAGCATCGAATAAAACTTCAAAAAAATGCCAAAAAAAAGTAGTTTCTTAGAACCTTCACAGTGGTCCGTATAGGAGGCCCGATTGCTTGCAAACGTGAACCCTATAAGGGCTTTAGATAGTGGCACCTATACGAGACACGCTAGTCGATTATTGTTATGAACTCTATGAAAAGAAGCATTTCCATGCGAAAACCTCAATCGAAAGAAAAATATCAATAGAGGATGAATTGATCAAGTTCAATTAAATTCAATCACTTTATTTTTGCAAGATCGGGATGGTATGGCGATGTTGCAGGGAGGCTAACCACACTTGTAAAGAAAAAAAATTTTTTTTTTCGTTCAAAATGTTGAGAAAGTTCGAGTTTCTCTTTTCGATTTTCAAATCCGAACAAAAATTAAAGGACCCTATAGGGACCATTTCAGTTTCACGCTTATAGGGCGCCCTTTATTGAAGTGACTTCTATGCGCCCTCCACGTATCTCGACGAGCCTCTCATGTTGACGCGCTATTTTCGCGTTTCTGTGACCTCTACGATGAGAGAACAGAGAGACGCAGACACAGGAAAGTCATCAAGCCGTACGGTCTATATTGAAGGTTTTTTTTTCATTATCTATTCTGATGCCTTCGAAAAGAAGTTTGAGCTAATGATAACCCTTACTTGATCGTCAAATGTTGGAAAAACCAAGTCTCAGGAAAACTGCTTCTCACGGCGACTTCAGCAACATCGGCGCCACTATCTTCAGGAGCAATTAAAAAGTTGCCCACGCTGTCTGTCGGCAACGAACCGTCCATCACGACCATGAATACTGAATCCAAAGCGCTACGGAAGAAGATATTCTTTTTTCGAAGGTTAGGTTAAAATCAAAAAAGCCAGACAAACGCCGAAAAGACACACTGAAAAAAATGAGAAAAGTAACGGTTTTGAGAGTATCGTTTTCAATTGGATAACTACATTCGTTCAAATAAATCATTTAAAAGCTGAAAAAGGAAATATCTGCTTGATTTTTAAAAAAAGTTCAAGTTTTTTTCATAGTAAAGAATTAACCAGCCTCAACTTTAAAAACTGTCGCCGAGTCGAAAATTCTGAGGGAAAGAGCGAAATAAAAACAAGATGCCACTTTGAGAAAAGATTATTCCAAGTTTTGAAATGAAAAAATCTATCCATTCAGGAGGAGAACAGCTTCGAAAGAAAGTATTGCCAGATATTTTTTAGGAGATTCAAAAAAAAACCATACAAATGTCAAAAGAACGGAAAATAAATGTATAAAGAGAGAATATAGAGAATTTTCATTGTGTGCAGCAGTTCCAATCGAATTTTCGGAAAAGCTATTATGGTATCTCAACAAGTCCAATCAAGAAAACTTCAAAATGTGTTAAAAATACCCAATATTGTGCGTGGTAAAAAAACATTAAAAATAAAAAATAAAAGGGTCTATGAAAAAAAAAAAAACGCTATTCCTACAATTTCTCACCAGGTTTTTTCAACCAGCTGACTTTAAATATAGAGCAAACGAATTTGTTAAAATATGAATCCTCAGGAGTCAAAATAGACCGTTATGAAATCCTGAAATACTAAAAAAAACTTTCATATCTAGAGCTTGGCACCAATAAACTGGATGCTGATCTGAAATTTCTCACTTTGTCGAGATACATGTCGACCAGATCCAAGTTTCCGGAAAAACAGTCCGCAGGACAAGGTTGTTCTGCACGACCACTGCAGGTGACGCTGCCGACTCCAGCTCCATCAGGTTGCCGTTTCCCCGTGACAGTGTCCGGAATGCCCATCCTGGCAAAGCAAGTCTAGATCTCCGTCATTTTCAGCGCGGCGGTATTTCTCTCAGACATTCGACTTTTTTATTCAGCATTCGGCAGTGTAAGCGTGCAAAACAGAAATATGTGTGAAGCCGATCTACAACCGTGGTTTTTTTTCTCGTTCTAAGGAGAGAAGGTTTCCGAAAAAAAAGGTTGCATAAGACGGAAAAGAGACGCAAGTCGGAACACAGAACTCGAAGCGCGCTAAGAAAATTTTTGAGTACATGCTTGAGTTAACGGTGGCTCGCGATTACTAGCTGATTGAAAATTGAAGATTAATCAAAAACGCGGACTACGGCAGGCGGTAGAAAAAAAACAGCGGAAGAAACACATCCGGAAAACGGAACTCCGTGCAACGTTGGTAGGGACAGCGACTAGAAATTGAGTACTCCTTGTCGAATCTTGCAGTATCGGATGAAGCACATTGTCGAAAATTAAAACCACTTTGATTTTTGAACGGGGACCGAGTTTGAGCCAAGTAACGACTAATTTATAGTTTTTTCAGATCTTAAATGTCCAGTCATCCTTCAACTCCTCCCCTTATGCGTAGGTCAAACCAATCAGAGAGCGGGAAACCCACAGAGCGTTGTTGGGCTCGTAGTTTGCTGCTTGACGTTCAAAATCTTAACAGACTATAGTGATACGAGAAATTTCGTATCAATAATTATGTTTGAAACTACCAGAAAGGGTCACACAATGTTCTCTAACGAGCGGCAGAGGAGCATGCTGAAAAATTCGATCGGTTCGGTTTTTTATGATATAATTTTCATCAAAGGAAAAATGAAGAAGCTTGCTCGTGCGAAAAAACTTATAACTCAAAATTTAAAGATATCTGTGAAAATAAACTGTCAAAAACCATTTCAAACGTTTGTAGAGCGCATTGAACACGCTTTAAGAACAAATAGTATGTCGAAAAAACAGACCTATGAGAAAGTACGCAAGAAAATGAGAAAAAAAAACTGTATTTAAAGTGACTGAGAGCTTGTGGGATCCACATGAGCCGCACCGCGTTGCTTTAGAAAGAAATCGCATTGTGGATCCACTTCTTTTCGGAAATACTAATGTCGAGATAAATTGATCGATAGTCCATTTTGAAGCGGCGCTCGAAGGCGTTACTTACTCAGAAGCGACCGCGACCGCCCATAGCCACGTCTCCGGGAAGCGCGTCCTCACTTGGACTGACGTCTCCAAGGAGGACGGCGGAGGCGCGCCAGCGCCTCTCATTCCGTCAAACGCCATCGCCGACTCGAGAATAACTGGAAGCATTCAACTGCCTAGACCGATTTTCAATTAAGACGGAGAATCTAAGAAACAAAAGTAGTGCTTAGAAGAAAGCTGTTAAACCAAACTCAAAAGATAGTAAAGGATATGAAATGAAGCGGACAAACAAAGTTACAACGAACTAAAAGCTTGGAGTAAGCAGAAACGAAAAAATTCAAAACAATAGAATCAGAGCTTATCATCCTGGGTAAGTACACAACTGGTCCAGGAGGAGGGGTCGACTACCAAACAATTTCAAAACCCAGGTATAAAAGTTAGTTTTAAGCCCAGGGGATCGGTGTTGACGATAATGAACGTGACTTTTAATTTTGGGAGGTAGGTGACTTTTAATTATGATAATTTGAGAGGAAGGAACGTCGGACTTTGAAAATGGCCCGTCCATGTATCTATAACCCATTTTTTACAGGCCTGTTTGCCTTTAAAGTTTTCTCAGAGTTAGAAGTAGAAAATAATTTAAAAAACTCGGAACAGTCGAAAAATGTATTCTGAAATTTCCCTCACATTTTTCCCAGACGTCCGCGACATTTCTTGATACCGGAATTTGAATTAGCGTGAAAAATGTCTCTAATTAACATAGTTAGGAATAAAAATCCTCTTTTTTTCAAATTATCCTTTTTTTTGAGATTGAAGGTTTACTTAATTCTAAAACCACTGTACTTACGAAAATACAACTTTCTCACAAAAACAGAGAAAATGACGAAACTGAACATTTTTCGTACCAACAATGTTGTTAGAGAGCACATAAAGGATTATCCACATTCGGATTGACTCCAGTCCATCAGTACTTTCTAAGAACAGTAAAATAATAATGCATATTTTTAACAAGTGATATTTACAACCTCAAGCAGTTGAGGAAGTTGATATGCGAGAAAAGTGATCTAAAAGACCTCCAAGAAGAATGTTCACGATCTTCACGTATTTTTAATTATATTTAGATGACCCCTCATTTTTGAGCAATTTTATTTGTAAGCTACATATAAAAAAAGCCCTTACTTGCTTTCCAACCTCAAAAAAAAAACATAGCCAGAACACATAGTTATATTTACTACTAAAATTTGCTATTCCTACCAATTAGCCCGTTCAAACTCAACTTGAGAAATATATCTCTCTTTTTTTTTATAAAATGCCGAAGCGACAAAGGTTACTCTTTTGTGCCCAACTGACTTGGTCAGCAGTCCAGCGTGAATCCAGGTGTGGCAGAAGTTGGTGCGGACAAGCGGCAATCGGCGATGACCGCGATGAGTCGGGCGCAACACAGCCCCCGAGGCCGACGACATGGGGTATATTACTGTGATGTTGGAGGTGATGATAAGGATAAACGTATAACGTGACACTAATGGATCACGTTGAATGTCAAGCGAGCAGTTTCTCGTGGAAGAACTGCTTGATTGAAATTTCAGCAGAAGTCGAGATGAAAGCTTTGAATTCAAAAATAGCTAAGGGTTCAGGAAAGCTAGGAAAACTGGCTATTCTACTGCACTTTTTTCTTGTATTATTCTAACTTCTTTTTATATAGTGAATAAACCTATTGTTATTTTTTAAAAAAAACCGAAAACAGTTTCCGATAAGCTTTTTCAACCTTCATACGCTAAAAAGGGCATTCACCTTGTTAGATGCTGAGTTACACACACTGGTAATTTTCGAGCAAAAAAAAAACGCCGTGAATGGTGAAATTTAAAAAGACGAAAGCAAGCTTGTGAGGGTGCTGTGCTACAGAGAAGAGGCAAGCAAAAGCTTAAAATTTAAAAAAATATTTTCAAACGTACTTGGTTGGATGGGCTCCTGATAGAGATAGGCATCCGTTAGAACAACGAGGCCAGAATTCTGTGATGGAATACTTGAAAAAAAAAACGAGATTCAACCAAAAACCTGGAAAATGCTGGCGGCATCTTTGCCGCCGACTCCCCACCATGGATGCCAGATGGATCGTCTCTTTCGGCGATCAACAGCCTCCCAAGCTCGGAAATCGTTGTTTGCGTATCCTGTACTGTCGTACTCCTCTATGTCGCTTTCCACCATCTCTGGAGTGATGTCATTGCCCGATTTGAGCAGCAGGACCGACTGGTCGACGGCGAGAAGGCCAACAAATGAATCCGGATCGGCGGTCACCTAACAAAGAAAGGTTTTATTTTTTTTTGGGAAGTTCCCGGAAATTTTCTTTTGTACTTGATCGATGGAAAGCTCAGAGGTTTTGAACCTAACTAAACCCCTAAAAGTAACACCTAAATTTACCCCTATAGAGACCACTTTTTTGTCCCCATAGGGACTGTTTTTACCCCTAACCACTCTGGAAATTCGAAATTACTCGAACAGACAATTTTTAAAGGCCACTGACCCCTTTCTAGTTTTTTCTTTGTTCAAAAATTTTAATCCCTATCTGAAGTTGAGAGTTGACTTCATTTTAATCAAAACTATATCCCTGATTTTGAAACTGGTCTTTAAAAAAAAAATAACCGATCTGAAATCTTTCAAGACTCAAACCACTTTTTTATTTCGGAAAATGAGGAGTTGTTAGGTTGATTTTGGGAACTTCGACTAGGAAAACGAGATGGATTTCGAATTATTTTCGCACCTTGAATTTGACGGGTTGGCCAGGCTCGGCGCTTTGTCGGTCAACAGAGAGCGAGACCTGCAAAATTTCATATTATGTTTTCAGATTCTCATTTTTGCATTAATTGTTTGTTACTCGGTTCTGGAAAAGGCCATCCACTTCGAAATCGAGTGCATCAACGAGGACTTCCCCGTTCGATGGACGAACAGCATAAACCACAAGACGAGATTTCGGTGCCATCTTAATATCTCCGTGGGTAATTTAAAAATTGTTGCGAAAAATCTAAACCAGAGAAGTTGCTTCAAAAGAGATTGTAGCATGGTCCGAGTGTACTGAGAGTTGCTGGGACAAAAGCACAGCCGACCGAGACATGACCTAAAATAATCCATCTCGTAAATTTTATTTTAAAAACTGGTAAACTCAATGAAATTTTAAACTAACTAAGGAACTTTTTTCAGTCCCTCAACTTTTGATAAGACTTTGCTGAAGTGTACTTCAGGACCTCCTGATTGAAAAACAAAAAAATTCTCGCAATAGATGTGGTTATACAGTTAAGACGCTTCCAAAGCTTGAAATAGCGTTTTTTTTCTGTCATAATTTTCGTATTTTGCAAACTTTGAAGCTTCATAAATTGGAAAAAAAATTTATTGCGAGAATTTTTTTCTTTTTCTGGGATCAGGAGGTCCTAACGTACACTTCAGAAAGAAAACTATTTTAAACATTTCTTTGAGTTGGGTTATTGTTTTCTATAGCAGTTGATTTCGATCCGGTGGAGTGCAATTCATCCTTTGAAGTCTCATAAACATAATTTAAAGTCTCATTTGAAGAAAATGCCTTTTTCTTTCGAATGTGATAAGGGTGTCCTAAATTTTTAAACCTGTTTCTTTTCAACTTCTTCCCCCATGATTCACCTCACCTCTGAGAAGTTTACAGTACCGTAGAAATTCGAGTACTACTGTCAAGGAAATTCATTTTAATTTGTGGTTGGGAACTTTGAAAAATGGGCCGAAAAATCTATTCATGTATCGGTGGTGTGAAAAAAGACCAGCGAAAATTCAAACGGCTACGTTGGTCTATGTTTCCGATTTTTTCATATCGCTAGAGAACTTTCCGACGGCCACCTTTCCGACGATTCTTTTTCCGACTTTTTCTCGATAAAATCTTCGTTTTTAATCTTCCTATATAAAGTAGGTAGTTGGTTCATGATTAAAACACAAAGAAATATGAAAAAAAATGTTTATAGATGTTTTATAAACCGAAAAACAAAAGGGAAAAAAGTCGCAAAAGGATCCGTCGGAAAGTTCCCTAGCGATATGAAAAAATCGGAAAAGTCGCCGTTTGAATTTTCGCTGGTGTTTTTTTCATACCAACCATGTGTCAAGTGAAGATAATGAAACTTTCGCCCTGCAAAACTTCCCAGTTTTGAGAAAAGACACCTAAAAGTCAAAGAAGGCGATCAAAAACAGTGGGCCAATTTTTGACTTTGAACCAAAATTTCCCAAAAACTAGGAACCCGTATAGGTTGACACTTTCCAGATCTTTACCTGGCTCCACGGCGTTTTAGATAATGAAAAAAAAATGCGAAACCAAAATTACGGAGACGGAGTCAAAACCTCCGCCGTTCCCATTTGAAGTCGTCAAAAAAATAGAGGTTTTGACTCCAAGAGCGTAAACAACGAATCATGTTAAAAGGCGCATGCGACAGCATTGCCATCAGGGTTGCACGCAATCTACTTTTCAAAAAAAAAAAATCGAAAATTTTGGTTTTGCGTGTTTTCGAAATTTCAACATGAAATAAGAGAGAAAAGTCGTTCTTAATCTGGCCAAGATGAGGAAGAAGAGGAACCACTAAAATGCTTCCCTAGAGAGGCCACCAACTGAAACCCCTACAGGGACCACTAGCAGACCCCTATAGGGGCTACTAACTGAAACACCTATAGAGACCACTTTTGCAAGCTTTTGTGTAGGAGATGATAGTGATTCCTAGAGAGAACCCTCCAAGGGTCCTTAAGGTTGCGCCTATATGGATCACTCTGGAGTCCCTAAGTGGGTCATGACTCACGAGACAGATATATATCTTACTAAATAGACGTTTTTTCTGTGCGAAAGCGTCACAGTGCATGCACACAATACACGACTATTTCCGGAAAAATAAATTTAAGAGGCGTGGTCGTAAAAACGCAGTGGCACATCCAGTAGAATCACTTCTAATTTTCAGGGAATTCTCGACTGCGAAGTGAAACAGTATCTCTTGTGAGCAGTTTCTATTCGTTCAGTAAAAATATACAGCTTTATGAGAAAAAAAAAAACTAACCTGATAAGTGACATAGGTGAGCGTTTCCGTGGCTTTCAAAGAGAAGGATAAGGTCTTGCCAACGTCGACAGCGCCCTCGTTGTCGGCCAGCAACTGGAGAAAGCTATTCGAAGGCGACTTGCCGGCCTCGACGTACAGCGAGCTGTAGATCATCACATTGGTGAAGTTGTCGTTGCCCAGCCGGTCGTAGTGAGCTTCGATTCTGGCGCTGGTGCAGTTGAACGGTGGCTGCAAGGCCAGCACCGTGGTGCCGTGGGCGTCCACTTCGACGATCTTCACTTCTTTGTCTTCGTGTTGAGTGGTCGCGTCTGGATTGTATGGGTAGTTGTAGAAGGTTGTGACCTGCAAAAAAAATGGTTCTGTACAGTACCGCTCAAAAGTCTATTAACTTTTGGTTTTTTGGGGATATCTCAGCGAGTACTTATCCGATTTATATATAACTTTCAGGGATAATGTAAAATATACTTTAAACATATACGGTATACAAAGACATGTCCGCAATGACTGTGACGCGTTTTAGGCATTTTTTTATTGAATTCCATTTTTGTTTTTTTATGCTTTTATTTTTTTATTTATTTTTTTATTAAATTTTTAAAAATTAATAATGTTGCCATATGATTTTTTTCATGTTTTTCAGACATGGGAAGAACCTTTGGAAATAAGAATTTGACTGATAACGACAAAAGAGCCATCGTTGTGGGTCGTCAAAATGGACTGACCATGATGACGTTGGCAGGAATGTTCGGCGTGACAGAGGCGGGCATTTCTCAGTTCCTAAAGCGTCAGAAAGCTCAAGATGGCTCTACTAACAGCCAACGCACTGGAAGACCACGTGTCACTGATCGTAATGACGATAGGAACATTTTGAAGACGTCTAGAACCAATCCAAGACTCACCGCTTCTGCGATCAGACGGGAAGTTTTCTTGAATTCGCCATCTCCGCCATCCGTCTCGACCGTGAAACGACGTCTGAATGCTGCTGGAATCATGGGAAGACGTCCAGTGAAGAAACCGCTGATTTCTGAAAAGAATCGAGTCGCCAGGGTGAAGTGGGCGAAGGAGCATCTCAACTGGACCCGTCAAGACTGGAACAAGATTCTGTCGTCCGACGAAATCAAGTTCCTCCTCTTCGGAAGTGACGGAATTCAATGAGTTCGTAGACCAATTGGGTCCAGATATCATCCGAAATACCAATTACCCTTTGTGAAACATGGTGGAGGACCGTTTCGTCGAATCACAGAATCTTGTTCCAGTCTTGACGGGTCCAGTTGAGATGCTCCTTCGCCCACTTCACCCTGGCGACTCGATTCTTTTCAGAAATCAGCGGTTTCTTCACTGGACGTCTTCCCATGATTCCAGCAGCATTCAGACGTCGTTTCACGGTCGAGACGGATGGCGGAGATGGCGAATTCAAGAAAACTTCCCGTCTGATCGCAGGGGCGGTGAGTCTTGGATTGGTTCTAGACGTCTTCAAAATGTTCCTATCGTCATTACGATCAGTGACACGTGTTCTTCCAGTGCGTTGGCTGTTAGTAGAGCCATCTTGAGCTTTCTGACGCTTTAGGAACTGAGAAATGCCCGCCTTTGTCACGCCGAACATTCCTGCCAACGTCATCATGGTCAGTCCATTTTGACGACCCACAACGATGGCTCTTTTGTCGTTATCAGTCAAATTCTTATTTCCAAAGGTTCTTCCCATGTCTGAAAAACATGAAAAAAATCATATGGCAACATTATTAATTTTAAAAAAATTTAATAAAAAAATAAATAAAAAAATAAAAAGCATAAAAAAACAAAAAAATGGAATTCAATAAAAAAATGCCTAAAACGCGTCACAGTCATTGCGGACATGTCTTTGTATACCGTATATGTTTCAAAGTATATTTTACATTATCCCTGAAAGTTATATATAAATCGGATGAGTACTCGCTGAGATATCCTCAAAAAAACCAAAAAGTTAATAGACTTTTGAGCGATACTGTATTTGGCGACTTTATTCACTTTTCGTTAATTCATTTTTAATAATTCCATGTAACTCATCTAATTCTCCTCATTAGTGAAACCAAGAAATCGAGTTAAAACATTTTGACGAAAGAAAAGCAGAAACAATAGATTTTGAGAGACAGCAAACATGGGATGAGCATGACTGGCGACAGCCAAGCCCCTGCCCCCCCTTCACTCAATGCCAAGCACTTTACAAAAATGATTTTTTTGATTTTTTTAAAAAGGTTTTTGCCAACCCTCTTTTCCTGTTTTTTTTGCCAAGGTCCTCCCTTTTTTTAGGTCCCACCAAGACTATCACACGTATAAGAGGCAGACATAGGAAAAGATAATGAATTTATGCGTTCAAATAATTTTTTTCAAAGTCATAAAAACTGAAATTTATCGAAAAACTATCATAAAAGAGAAAAAAATATAAGAAAAAGCGGCTTCTTATTAGGTGTTCTCTTGAGATTAGTAACGCTTCTGAGCCCTAAAGGAAACAATCTTCTAAATACTTCTTTTCAGAGGTCGAAAAAATTGTTTTTTTCAAGACTCCCCCAAATTTCGTTGAAACTGTTCAGATCCGTTTTAGCTTCGAACGAACCTGAACCCGGCGAGGCAGCGATGCTTTCACCGGAGTATCATCCATCTGTTTCAGCGCCACCACAACGCTGTAAGTGAGGCCAGGCTTGAAAGTGTCGCCCTGCTTCTCTAAGTCCAGCTTTACCTCCTCACGATAGGTTGAGATCTAAACTTTTAGGACGTTGGCCAATGCTACTAACATTTTTCATCAATCAGAGACGAAAATAAACAATAAAAGTGGGGTATTCGCCTCATCTGGCGCTTTGATTTATTTTTTCTGATGTTTTAACAAGGGTGATCACTTCTTATCGGTTGAGAATTTCCTAAAAGTTGACCAGTTGGCTTTTTGATGTTCCTGGTAGAAATCTTGGAGACTGGACCTGCGCAGAAGCGCATTAAGACAAACACTCTAAATTTTTGAATGGGTCATCCTACAGACCCTTGGAAGCCCTTCTCTCAGAGTAATTGAAAGTTATGCAAAATGGAATTTTTACGATTTTCATCTGATACGAGATTTATTGTTTGAATTTCTGATTGAAAATGTTGTCTTTTCGCATTTCCCCTTGAAAGAGTTTGTTTCAGACTTTAGATAGATCTTTTCAAACAGCATCAGAATTTAGAAGAATCTTTTCAAACAGTCCTACATGATGCGTCGCGTTTCTCTGCGTCTCTGTCAAATCTTCGGTGACCGTCGCGATAATACGAACACTTCCACCGCCATAGTCCTTTAAAGCAAATAATTATTCGATCATTCGCTTGAGTAGGTTGAACGGACATGGAGCAGTTTGTGGCGCTTGAGTTCATCATTTTTAAAAACGACTGCAGCTTCTCCTTGTCGATTGAGCTTGACGGTTCGTTCCACAAGAGTTTCTTCTTCCGACTGTAAGTTTTACCCTTTCGACTTTAACAAAAAACATTAAACAGTAACAGCTCATATTGTGATTAAAATGTATACGCATAACGCTCTTCATTTCCTTTTAAATGTTCCTTCCCAATCGGTTATCACGCGACAAAATTGAAAAAGAAATAGTAAAGCAAAAAAATATCAACGAACTAACATGTAGCCGTTTCGGTTCTCAAACTTTTTTTTACGACTAAAGGGCGCCGCAACATCAGAATCGATGTTTCTGCATTAATCCGAAAGAGCAGTCAAGTTTTTTTTTGGAAGTTACAGCTAAAAACGATGAATTCGTTGAGTAAAAGAATGAGAAAAAATCATGAGAAACGGAGGGGGTGATACATATGAAAAGGCCAAATAATGAACTATAGTCGAAAGTAGAGCAAAATATAGCTGTGGTGGAGTGAGTCTAATTAAAGCCATAACTCGACCTTAGAAAATTGTTCGAATCATACGAATGTTAAAACATAATTTCGGAGATTTTAAAAAAGGAGTAGCTGTCAGAGAAAGAAAAGACAACCCAGTCGCCATCGTGGAGGAGCCACGAAAGTTTGAAAATTCAACTCATCAAAAATTTTTTCACTGAAAAACATATTCCCAAATTGTGTGCCTTACTGAAAATTAATTAATCATCATCATGAAAATAAGCTTCAAAAATCATATTTTGATTAACTCGAATGTCTAACCTTTTGAGGCCTCAATTAATAAAGCTTTTAATGACAGAAAAACTCAAGTTTTTTTGGCAAACAATTTAGGAATATGTTTTTCAGTGAAAAAATTTTCGATGAATTGAATTTTCAAACTTTTGTTGAGTTCAGGTAGATTAAATGTTGAAAAACTCCGGGGGAAACCCAAATCCTTTTGTTTCGTGGTTCCTCCACGATGGCGATTGGGTTTCCCGAGTTTTGTTGGCATCGGCAGGATGCCTTTAAATATTTTAATGTGCTGAAAGCGGAAAAAATGTCTGAAGACACATGTCCATGGATATGGAAATTAAATCTCAAATTTTGAAAAAATTTACTGTCCGAAAAAAACATGTCTTAGTGATTTACTACCTTCAATTCTTTTCGAAGCTCGAAACTTACAACTTTTACAATTTTTTTACACTTTCCTATATAAATTATTTTTAAGAAATCATCTCTTCATTAGGATCTAAATATAGTTCCTAAATACAGTTTTAACAATTTCAAACGTGTTTTAACTGCGATCCTAAAACGAAACCTTCTCCTCCCTGGTCTTTTTGAAAATGACTTTTTTTAGGAAAAATTTTTTTAGTTGACCTAGAATGGTATATGTCCCTCGTTATGGTAACCGTAACGGAGAAATCTTACCCAAAATTACATGTTTTTTGGATTTTTCGGGTCTTAGATGGGAAATTCCCCTAGTCCATGTTTGGCTCAATAGAGAGAGTATTTTTTTTTGTAGTGTTGATAGAAGCGAGACAAAACGCCGGACCGCAACGTCATACACTGGTTTCGATTATTTTGAGAAAAATCCTCTAATATGAGCAATAATGAGCAAGCATGAGTAAATACATTTTTTTACAAAATTACATAAATTTCTTTTGCACCTTATTACAAACTTTGGTTGAGTTTCGTCGAATTTTTGTCAAGATATAGATTTTCGAAGGGTTCTACCGTATCCCTTTGAGCCACCGTATCTCGAAAACGGCTCGAGTAATGATATTCGGTTTTTTTTTTTAAATCCTAGAAATCGTGTTCTACAACATATTTGATTTAGAGAAAATTTCACTCTAACGCTCATTTTTTTTTTCCAACTCATCCTAAACCCAAATGGCGCAGAACAAGTCTGCGCCTAACTAAATTGTGGAGAGCCATGGATGGTTTTTAATTTTGAGGGAGTACCTTTAACTCGGGCAAAGTCGGAATGGCGGATAATGGCCGCTAAAAGGGAGAGGCTCAAAAAAGGCCGCAGAAAGCCAGCAAAAAGGCAGCAAAAAGGCAGCAAAAAGGCAGCAAAAGGCAGCAAAAAGACAGCGAAAGGGAGCAAAGAGACTCCCTTTATCGAGCCTTCCATTTTTCTGGGATTTTGAGCTCGAGAAATAGTGGAGAAAGGGAGAGGCAACAAAAATGGTGCATAAGGGCTGAGAAAATGGAGCAAAAAGGCAGCAAAAAGAGAGCCTTCATCACTCTAAAAGGAACATTTCTATGGTCCTTTATGGACCCTCGGAGAGCCCTTTGAGCGTCCGTTACAGATCCGTCTGTTTCCATTAATTGTTCCTAAGCGGGTGGCAAAGGTTTCCATTTTACTGTCTTTTTGCGTCCTTTCATCGGCCTTCATCCACCCTTTTTGGACCCTTTTGAGAATACAATTTTTTTTTTTAAATTAGGAATAATTTTTACAAGGGACTGTGTATGAACCAAAATTTGCAACAGTATGAAATGGGAAATTATCAATAGAAGAGAATTTCAAGACCCTTTTGCACCCTCACTCTTTCTTCACCCTTTTTGCGGCCTCTCCCTTTTTTCGTCCCTTTATGACCCTTTTCAGCCCACCAAAAATGAAAGGCTCAATAAAGGCCCTAAAAAGGGTCCCTTTTAGCGGCCATTTTGCAGTCACTCCCTTTTTGCACCCGTTTTCCGCACATTCGACTTTGGCAGTGTATGAAACACGGCATACATTTGAAAATATAAAACCCTTGATTTTCAATAATTTTTAGGTCGACGATAAACTGTTATGAAACAATAACGCGAGCTGGATTTGATTTCTTTTGTTTTTTTTTTAACGATTTCTTTTTTTCATAAAAGAAGAAAATTCTGGAAGTTTTCTCAACCTCAACGGTGGTTCCATCCTCGTTGATAGGCCGCGGAACTGGATGCCAACGATGCCAAGGCAACTCCAAAGTGACTTTGGCCTTCCCCGAGACGCCTTTCCCGTAAGTGTACCTACAATTTCCATTCTTTCGAAAATCCCATTTATGTAAATTTCCAGTTATGTGAGCTAGCATCAAAAAAAATTGTATTATTCTCAAAAAGTCCTCAAACGTTTTTCCAGATATTTCAAAACTTTTTTAGAGAAATTTTTAAATCCAAAAAGCGAATAGAAAAGAAAAACGAACTTTGCGTCGATCAAAACGGACAAATCGTCATTTACAGTGATGAAAGATGGTGTTTTGATGCTGACTTCAAACTTGGGAAGGACGTACTGAAAGGACTTTTTCCCATCGTCTTTTTCTTGAGAACCCTACTTTCTCAACGGTAAACGTTTTCTGGAAACGCATTCCGCTGGAAGTTTCCGTTTGTATTGTCCATTCGCCAAGTGGCGGCTCATCGGCCAATTGAAGGTCACTTGAGATAACGCCTAAAAACATCATTTCCTTATTTTATGATGTTAGAAGACTTTATTTTTCTTTTGCATCTAAATCCGATAAAGATTTGAGAAACTAAGTTCTCGGGCAAAGTCGGAATGGTGGATTATGGCCGCTATACTCAAAGAAAAAAAAGTCGCAGAAAGACAGCAAAATTCCCTTCATCAAGCCTTCCTTTTTTTTCTAGATGTTTGAAGGGGGTTTGAATTTGCCATCCTAAAAGAAATCTTTTAATTTTTACTTCTCGAACAAACCTTTGACAAGAGGTGCATCAACTTGCTGTTTGATAACATTCTGATTGGGGTCGAGAATTTTCACCGTAACACTGCCGGAGAACGGCCGAAGATCCGATTTAACAACAATTACGCGAAATTGAACTGAAAACGGAATGAAGAAATACGTCAGATGATTTTTTTTTCTCACACACTATCGACTTTCTCCAGATCGGAAAAGTCAAGTCGCTTTCTTGAGTGGCCATTTTTTGAGAAATTTTGTAGTTATTTTTAGTTCCAAATTTTTTGAGTGTTCAAAATGCGTAGAATCTTCGATCATGTACGTTTTAAGTTTTAAAAACCCAAATATTGATTTTACGTTTTTCAATAAATTTCCTGTCAAACTTTCAATTTTCAACTGAAATTAAAAATATGCAAGTGCAATATAGTGTTCCTTGAAATTTGAAATCATTTTTTTATGGCAAAAAAATAAACAAATTCAGAAAGAAAAGAGAAATTTTGAGAATTTATTGATGAGATCCTTTGAAAACTGTCTTCGTAACTTGTCAAACTATGAAGAAATACTCACTTTAGAACGGTTAACAACTTAATAGAGCTCTAAAAACTTTTTCAAAATTTGAAAAATTACAAAATAGGTATCATAAGAAAGCGACTTTTCCAGCATGCCATAGGGAAATTGACGAAAATTTTTTCAAATCGAGAGAAAAGAAAGATTTGGTACAAATATTTCGGAGTACAGTAATAGTAAATTTTCAACGAACCCAATGCCGAAGGTTTGTAAATAGCGCGATCAGTTTGAATGAAGGTCGAAAGGCTTTTCGAATGGTAGGAAATTTGTTTTTCTTCCTCGAAAATCATTTGTGAGCTCAGCGTTTCACCACTCACGTAGATCTGAATATTTTCGATTTTCCTTTTTCAAAGACACGAAAAACTGAACCTTATAGGAAACATCAGGCTTGAGAGCGTCCGCCGGTATCCCATCGATAGTAACTGTCTGCGGAGAGCCTGGAAAACATTTTTTCGAAAAGCGATCTGACAATGGTCAAAAAAGAGTCGTAGTGTATATAACAAGCGCCTTCAAAATTAAGACTTCAATCAATCATTTTATTTTTTTATTTATTCGTTTTAATAAATTTTCAACTACTTTTTGCTTTTTCAATCGACTTTTGATCTTTTTTCCGATAGCTTACTCATATTGAAAAAAAAAAAGATTTTTTGATATTTCTTGATGCCGTCCAGTCGAAAAAATTCGCAAAGAACTGATTAATTCTCCGTCTTTTCCCATTGAAATACAGCTTTGAAATGTTTTTTTCATATTTTTTTTTAAATACTACTCAGTGCTTTTGCTTACGTTTTTCAATAAATATCTACTGTCCTTGTGGTCAGAATGTTGGTGTTTTACTTGAGTTCAGTCTGTTGATGATGGGTGAAAAAAAGAGTCAAAAAATTATCTTTTTTTCAATCAGCAGCATATAAGCATGCTATTGTTATATTTTTGCTAGACAACGTAGTTGTTGAAGTAAAATATTTATTATATCCTAATACGTAGAAACGATCACATAGCTTATAGCTGTTTGCCCTTATGGTCTGAACTTTAAATTCGGCGTATACGTGATCTATCCGATCGCGTGAGCCGATCTCACGAGCTTTGCGTAGTGAGACTCATTCCCATCTGTTCAAAGCTCTTCGTTCCTTACGCGTACTCTTTACCAGATATACTTAATGAACTAGCCGGGCTCCCGTCACCTTGGTAAACCATTGTGGTTTGCCTGTCTAGCGCAAGGAGATGTTTTCAAACTTTTCTCAGTTATGAGAATTTTTGAAAGTGCGCCTGCCCACTTTTTCTTTCGTGGTGTGACCGGTACTGTATCCCTTTTCCTTGAGCCTTGAGCCTTTGTTCCTGGCGTTCAACTCTTAGAACCCATTTCGAACGATTTCAATGGCAATTTAATGCCTGCTCCAAGCCGATGTGCTCGCGAGCATCGATCGGACCGAGGATTTATCCACCATTGAAGATCTTGTTTAGAAAACCCTTCCTTGTCGCGATTCTCATCTCCATGGTTCGGAGATCATCCGTCAGTACTAGCTATCGACGTGTATAAAGCCTTTTACTGGCTTATCCGCTTATACCCTCTGCCTCGAGCAACGTACATGTGTATTTGTTGATGAGTCCTGTCTTTGGACTCGTTGGGTATGTACTGCGGAAATGTTCCTTCTCCATGAGAACTGCTCCTGGCTAAGCAGAAATTGTACGTTTTCGAGACCAGTGATTTTAGGTAAAGCTTTTTCTATTCTTTGAACCTTTTCGTTCAGAGGTTGCCTTCAGTTGTATGCCTCCAACTTTTACCTAATTTCCATTTCTGGAGCTGGCAGCGACTCAACCCTCTTCTTTGGTCATGAGGTGGTCTAGCTTCCTTAAAATGGCTCCCACGATCCTTCACGCCTTTCTAGCGTATACAGCATCATCGCTCCTTTTCCTGGAAGCTGCTGATTTCGATACCTCATTCAACCCATGAACCACACAATGGTTCGGATTCCGGGGAATATACAATTTGATGCAAATTGTTGGGTTTCGAAAGATCTTTGGAACTTTTAACACTGTCTCTCTGCCAGAGTGGACTACGACCCGCTCTCTCCGCATGTATTATGCCACGTCGCGATGATCATTACTTATTCATCGTGGAGAGCTGGTGATCCGAATCAGATCCGAGCGTAGGTTTGCGCATTTTGACTCTTTCTACCTAATGAGTAGATCCTCATTATTTTAGGTAGGCAAACTTGTTTCTCAAGGCATCTTCATACTGTCTGTCAGTATTCTGGCCTGTGCACTCTCGGAACTCTGATTGTTCTCTGCTAACCTCTTCTTGTCCAGATCGCTGATACGTCAGCTATACTTGTGAGCTCAAGCTTTCCTGGCTTATGTAGATGAGGCTGAGGCTGTCTCCTTCCGTTGACTAACTTCAACATTTGCGCTTCATTGCAGATAATTCTGCCTTGTATGTTATCCTCTTTCCTCATGGAATGTGGGTTCTGATGACCGCTTCTCACTCAGCGAGGATCGCAATGAAACTCCTCTGACGCCTTCTCTTCTCCGAGAAGTACTACACCGTCAGACAGAATCATGTTTCCAGAAACTTCAGCTTCTGGGGCGCTATGATCAAAGTGCGTAGAATCTTTGCGGATTTATGGATTGAATAATCTGCATTCTTTCATAAGATTCTAGTCGAACCCTGGTTTCTCAAGGTGACATGCATCTGGCTAGTTCAGGATTGCACTTCCTGTTCGCCAATCGCCTCGTGTCTGATACAGGCATAACTAGGGACCGCAGGGCCACGCCCACTTCGCTGTTCAAAAAAACTTCGTCATTTTTCGTTGCATTTTGGTTCTTTTTTTATATTTTAAAACAGTTTTCTTGTACCGATTTGGGAAAAAAATTGGGGAAACATACAATCGGCTATGCTTAACAATCCTACATAAAAAAATACTGAAAAAAATGAGAAATAAGAATGTACGACGACAGTTTTTAAAACGCATTTGTGGCCGAAAACGGATAAAAATCCCGTTTTTTCTTGAAAGTTTCTGGGCAACTTTTTTTATTCTTGAATATCATAAAGCAACTAAAAACGCATATTCTGGCAAAAAATAAAAAAATTCTATGGTTGGCCTCAAAAAATAACGCAATTTGAAAATCACGATTTTCGAAATTCCTTATTTTCGAAAAACGCAATCGATAATTACTGATTATATTTTTAAACGGTTGTTTGCAGTTGTTTTGCAAATTTTAAAAAAATAAAAAAACTAAGTTTTTTTCATCGATTATATAGTTTATATGAAAGCTTAAAATTTCGGTTTTTTCGTAACGCTTTGAAAACGGCCCAAAGCGTTCTGGGCAAGTTTTTTTATTTAACGATATCAAACATTAGACATTTCTCTACAACATATCAAAAAATAAAAAAATTCCTAGGATGGCCCGAAAAGTATGGTTTATTTAAACGCTCGAAAGTTATTTTTAAAACTGCGCGTCGCTGGAAATCTGCAGACACCGCGAAGGCCACGAAATTTTTCGAAAGCGTGAAGAAGGTTTTTTTTTAACTATTTATGTATTCTATTCAAGTTTTTCTCATTTTATTGTGGCTTTATAGTTGCTTTTTTTACTCATTTCATAATTGGAATCTTTTTTTCCTATATCATTATATCCATTATAGAGAGAAAAGTATTAAATTTCGCTTTTACTCAACTTTTTTTATGAATTTTTTTCAGAATGTCAAGTAAAGAATTCTGAAAAAAATTGTCTACGTACACTCCATGTAGACGCACAAACTTTAGAGAAAAAAATAAAAAGAAGTAGAAAAATCAAAAAGTAAAAAAACGCTTTTCGCCCTTTAAAAAAACTCTCTGTAAAAAGGACTTGGTGATTATTTACATATTTTTTTTCAGTAAATTTCTTAGTAGACTGTTACATTTTCAATTCGGTTTAATGCTGTTCGTCCTTCGCAAAGGTCTATTTTGTCGGTTATTTTCTTTTTTCACGAAATGCATTGAAACCTTCTTCAAAACTCGCTTTTCAGCAGAGTGAGTGCTTGAAGAGTAGGCTGATATTGAAAAAGAGCAATATTCAATATGAAAAACTCTAATATTTCATTTAAAAACTTCTAAAAAAACTCAAATAAATATGTTTTCCGAAACGTCTCCTGCGTGAATTAACGCACAGCAAGGAGCGCGCGGCATCTATAAACACGCCCCTTTTCCTGCGACCCTGACGAAAGTTTCTACACAAAAGTGGTTCCCCGATTTCGCCACTTTTTTTGCTTATAACTTTTTCATTTTTTTCATATTTTTTTCTTTTTCTGTTTTCGCAGTTAGCTCTCAATTGCCATCAGCTTTCTTTTTCATATAGGTTTCAACTTTATATCACTGACTTTGGGAATTGGCCTGCGGTCCCTAGGCATAACCAACGGCTTCAGTTTGTTACTGGAAACCTCAAGTGGTTTTCCTCAGGTTGACAAATTTCTTTGTTCTTGCCTGATTCGTTCCCGAGGACCCGGATCTCGACGAAATTTACTTCGGAGTTCCAGAATTGGTCCTATTTGGGATCAACAGTTTCTTGTTGCTCTGATCCGGGTAGTGACTCTGACTGTCAGTGAGACCCCGGACCTTGGTTCCTTCACGGATCCACTTTCGCTTAATTTACGGATTTTTTCTCCGTTGGTTTAAGCGCGGTCCCTGTGGGTTGTGTATCACAGGGCCTCAGACCTCGGTTCCATGTTGGATCCGATTTTTGGTTCGAACCAGGTGAACGAGATCTCCTGGTTCTCACCAGGATCCTGTCTGACTCCGACAGGACCCCGACCGATCTGTAGCACAGGGCCTCAGACCTCGGTTCCATGCTGGATCCGATTTTCGGTTCGAACCAGGTGAACGAGATCTCCTGGTTCTCACCAGGATCCTGTCTGACTCCGACAGGACCCCGACCGAAGAGCTTTGAACAGCTGGGAATGAGTCTCACTACGCAAAGCTCGTGAGATCGGCTCACGCGATCTGATAGATCACGTACACGCCGAATTTAAAGTTCAGACCATAAGGGCAAACAGCTATAAGCTATGTGATCGTTTCGTAGTATTTGGAATATAATAGAGACTATTATAGATAAAAATCGTTTATTAAAGAGCATTAATAATTTAGTTTTGTTCTTTTCCGTAAGAGCTATCACTACCGAAACCTAAAAAAGAACCTGCTTCAGCGTTACAAAGATGAATCGGGAAGTCGACACAAATAGCTACCGGGTAGCAACTTTTGAAAAAGTCAATCGGCGTATGGTAATCGGTGGTCGTTTGTATGCGATCGGATACCATCTTTATGGTACCTGGGTCGGAGGTCGATGCAAGTAGCTACCGGGTAGCTACCTGACATTCGCGATTTCTTTCGGAAAGTCTGGAATTGCTTCCCGGGTCGTTATTTTTTGTTACAGCTTTATCCAATAAGACCCTGGAAGGCTTGGGATGGTGTAAAAAAACACTGATGGTATATAAACGACCGTTGTGCCAGCCAGTGGGGTAGCATCCAGATACCGATCAGGTACTATCCAGGTACCATAGAGATAGTACCCGGTCGCATACAAATGACCACCGATTACGATTCGCCGATTCACTTGAGTTGCTACCCGGTACCTACTTGTATCTACCTCTCGATTCACCAGTGTATTCAACGCTCAAATCAGTTTTAATTGATTTAAGAGACTTTTTGATCGTTTTTTTCAATTGCAAAATAGTAAAATCCCTGTATTTTCTCTTTTCTCGCAAAAAAAAGAAGTTTTTGCGCGTTAAAAATAAATATAAAATGTGTTCTACGCGATGCATAAAAAGCGAAACATTATGTTTATTATGACTGAATGCGGATAGTTAATTTTGAATATTATAGGAGATGGAATTCTTTTACATTTTCCGAGTTCACCGAAAAAGATCATTTTATTCAAGTACTGAGAAAACTAACCTGGCCGCACATTACTAAGAACTCTCGCAGCAACAGTTTCATTGGTGGCCGTCCGAATCTCGACACGAACAATATGATCCTCATCTGTGGTGGCTTTCAACAGGTTGAAAGAAACCGCGTACGGTTGCTCTGGCCGAATCACTGAAGGGGCCACCACCAGATACGTGCCGTCGCTGCAGAACGCTTTTTCATTTATTTGATACTCTGCAAATTACTACTAATGTATTCTTTGCCGAATAAAAAAATATTCATCACAGAGATGCAGTTATTAGATACTAGGTTTTCAATGTATATCTTCAAAGAAATAAAAAAACCTTCGAGTTTCATTGAAACAATTCTTAAAAAACTCGTAATTCGTAACTTCGAGTGGAACTGGAAAATCTGAAGTGGGTCCTCTAGAGAAAAAAAAACCCCCTACGAGGTTATGCTAAAGGACCTTCTGCGTTCTCTATATTTAAGTGTCTATCTTTAGGAATTCATAACAAACTTCCTATAGGACCTCCTATAGGACCTCCTATAGGACCCACTAAATCTCGAACTCCCTTTAGGACACACATCAGCTTTTTACAGAACAGAAATTTTTCGAAATCTTGAAAATCTTCGAAACAAAAATTGAACTACATCAAAACGTGTTTATTAACTTATAATTTAAACAGCTGAATGAAAATTTTACAGTTGAAAAAAAACAAACTAAATTTTGACGGGTTTGGTTGTTTCCGTAGGAACATTAGGTAGGAAACCGACGGCGTTCGACTGTGCAGCGGCTTGCCATACCACTAGGTAGGATGTTAGTAACAATACTATCATCTGAAAGTTTAAACTGACAAACCGACATTAAAACTCGACGATTAGACGGGAAATTAGAAAAAATAAAAAAATTCAAGGATTTAGTAATAACGTTAAAAATGAAGTCAAATATGAAGTTGAAATAAGAGAAAAATCATGACTCATTTGAATAAGAAATATATGGTAAATTCAAAATAGACCTACGGTAAGAATAACTAGAGCAGTGATAATAAAAAAATTGTATATAGTATATATACTCTTTTTCCTAAGAACAAAAGAAACAATTTTTTTCCATGTGATTCATTCAATCACAAAATCTAAAATAAAGCAAAATATGTACTACAAATTACAAACGTATCAGAAAAAGCAATATGGCAGCGAGAATTTGACGAGGTCGCAGCAAGTTTTTTGGCTAATCGCCTGCGGCCCTCTGCGATATAGTCAGTTCTTTTGGATAGAGAAGACGATTTTTTCAGTTTATCTCTTCGATATCACAAATATTCAGTTCACTAAGTTTGGACTCTTTTCTTTTGAACGAAGCAAGTTTGAAAAAGTTCAAACGAAAAAAAAAAGAACGGCTCATTAGGCAAAAGAGACGGCCAAATGCAAATAGCGAAAATATTTGTTGCATCTGGAAGTTTAGCATTCACTATCAAGGTCTTCGCAATCGTTGGTTCGATTCAAGACAAAAAAATGTCACCGAGAAAAGAAAATCACCTTTTTTCACAAAACTACACCTCTTTTGTATTTTATGTATTTTTGTGTGGGTTGAACAGCAAGTTTAACCTCGTTTCTACTTCGCTAGACGTGTTAGGAGCGGAAAAAAATCATGAAAAATAGAGCGTTGTGGGATTAAATCAGGGATAGAAATTGGCGGTTAAGAAAGACTTCAGAATCACACCGCTATAAAGGCAAAATTTAGGTGTTCCCATAAAAATGGTTAAGCGTCAGAGTTCAAGCCTCTAAAAATTGAGCGGTTCCCATAGGGGTCCTAATGTTTCATTCACAGAGAATGGGCATTGTAAACCGGAAGGTATGGCCAATTCACGGCTAGCTTATGGGTTATAGGCTGGCGCTAGAATAGTACTGAACAGATGTGGAATTAAAAAAATTGTAAACAGTCGAAAAGCCTATCTATCTCATAATTACGTCATATGAAAATTTCTTCTGGACTTTTTTGTACAAAAAGATGATGAAAATTCATTTCAAGGTATTAGATCAGAGAAAAGATGTTAAATAGCGCTCGAACACGAACCAATTTTGAAAAGTGGAGTTTAAAGGCGAAACTTCAGCGAATTTCTGCTGATTCACCGCAAACATTTTACCGGTTTTCCAGCCAACTGATTCCGCCTTGAACTTGACCAGTTCTATGTACAACAAAAAGAGATATATACTTTCAAACAGTGCAAAACAACGCGTGAGGAACAAAAAAAAAAGTGAAAAGTGAAAAGAAAAGAAGAGCAACTGTCGAATGTGTGGTGGTGATGGTGATTCAGAGGCGGCAGCCGCATTCTAACTTGATTAACGGCTTTCAGGTGACTTATTGACTGAGAAAATTTTGAATCTTCTGCGAGAGAAAGAGAAACTCGCGAATTGGTAGAACTTTTTTTTACAAGGCTACTCAAACTACAATAGTGAGCACTAAGACGCAGAATAGGGGCTTCTATAGAGGCGGTTTTAGTGACCACTTTAGTGTTCACTCCAAGTAGTCCTTGAGAAAATACTTGAGTGGCTACTAGGATTTTACTCAGTAATCGCAGAATTTATCAACAAAGCTCCCTCAATCATCGGAAGTAAAAATCGTTCATATGAAGACAGAATTTCAGGATCGCCGACCCCTCTCCATAAAACAACGATTTTCCGAATCACTAAGAGAAAACTTCAACCTATTTTCAGAAGTTTGTTTTTTGAAACTTTTTTAAACATGTTTGAAAAATTAAAGAAAACTTTTTTATTTCAAACAAAAAACCATAAAAAAATCTCGGTGATGTCAAGCACTTTACTTTTGGAAGTCATTAAAAACGGGACAGTCGGACTTTATCTGTCGGAAGAAATAGTCTCATCTTTGGAGGGGATTTAGCGAAAAGAGGAAAAATTTAAATTTGAAAGAAAAACCGATAAATGGCGAAGCGGGCTAGCTCACGTATGGTTACACACAGTTCATAATACTATATTTATTAAAACTGCCTTCAAAATGTTTTATTACTATTAATGGTTGGCGATTCAGTGTAACAATTTTGTGAGGAAGAAAGAATTTATTGAAAAAAAACCAAAAAAGTAAAAATTTCCCAAATGCAGGTGGTAGATATGACGAGGTAAATGGAACGCTCAATTAGGTATGGAGGGTTGGCGTGCCAACCGATTTGTCCACCTGATAATCAACCTTTGCAATTGACCCAACCCATTGTTGAGGAAAATATGGTGGTATGGAGAAATTTTTTTTTCCTTTTTCTTTGTGCTTTAAGCATGAATCAACTACCTACTTTATATAAAAAAGTTCAAAACGAAGAGATTATCCAGAAAAAATAAAGTTGAAAAAGTAATAGTCGGAAACTTCGCAGTCGGAAAGTTCCCTGGCGATATGAAAAAATCGGAAAAGTCGAAGTTCGAAAACTCGCTAGCTTTAATTCATACTTCCAGAAAAAAAAAACAGGGTAAACTTGCGTAAAATGGGCTATACAAAAGCAGTCAACTCGATAAGAACAAAAATTTTCATAAGTTTTTTCGAGTTTTAACTCTTCATGCTCTTTTTCGAATTTGAATAGCATAGGACTACTAAGTATCAAATTTGAGAACAAAGATCAAAAACTGGAAAATTAACTGGAAACCGGTCCCACCTACGTGAAAAAATATTGATCAAAGTAGAACCCATGCCCATAAACATGGAAAATCACGAACAAAAAAATCTATGAAAAAATTTTCTACAAAAAAAGTCCAGGCGTTATAAAGGTTCAAAACGAAGTAGTTTTTTTCCACTCTTCAAAGCCCAAAAAAGGGGCACTTACCAGAAAAGTTTTAAAAAAAGTATTGGACAGCATGGGGACCTTCCCTTTTGAACCAAAAATAATTAGAAAACTTGGTGAGATACAAAAGAAATGGACAAAAATCAATGAAAAATGGAGTTGATGAAAAAGAAGGGCCTGTGTGTATACGTGTTGGAGGCGTTGATATCACCTCGGGCTGTCTGACTGGTCCAATCGAAGTGGGGCAAAACATCTCGTCTCTACTATTTTCTCAGCGGTGTCGGATAATCTAACTTTCTTTCTTTTTTCCCGCAAAACCAACAGTGCATCTATTTTTCGCCGTTTAACGGTTCAAAAACAAACGCCTATGACTAACTAAGAAAGGGATACAAAATACTATTTGAAATTCGAATTTCCATTAACGACCCGAAAAAGCCACTAAAGTCGATTAGAAATGGATCAGATCAGCAATCGGACAAAGAGGTGGAAAAGAAGAATAATTGGTGGAGTCGTCGGATTAACGCGCACCTCACGTAAATGGAAGACGCCGAAATTCGAACGAAAAAAAAAACCAGGCCGTCTGGGCCACCGTCCGCCGGCGAAAATTGCCAATAATTGCGGTTCGTCACGAAGTTGAGAACTTTCTTGCTTGTTTATCGGGCTACTCGCTACAAATGGACATTGAAGAGAAAATTTGAAATCAGGATTTTCCTGAATAGCTCTAGTTTAATGAACAAGCTTCTATCAATGAACTGTACGATATGGTTTATTATGCTGAAGCTGATAGAGACGGAAAACCCCAGTTTCAAAACCACTAACAGCACTAAAGAATTGCGCCTAATTGAATCTCGCTATCTAGAGTTAATATCTGAACTTTACTTGACCGCGCGGTAAAATTACGAACGGCTACAAACCATATATGACTTGTATTTCGTTGTCTCGAAACTATAATCGCAGAACTAAAAGTAAAATTCTTTTAAAACTGTATAATCCATCAAGGGGAATAACACAGGTCTTGCTCAGGAGCTGGAAAGAAAGGTCGTGGTGTAACTAGGCTCACTTCAATCAATAATTTGTTTTTGTTTTTTTTTTGTTGATTATAAGTGTAACCTAGAGCTCTCAGAAATGACATGTTGAAAACAGTGAGCGTTTGATTTTCAACAAGTCGACTGTTTGATGTTAAAAGGACCGTTTGGTTGCATACTGACCTCTGAACGATTGATTGGAATGAACGGTTGGTTCATGTGTGATACTGCCCCTCATTTGAAGAAGTCGTTTGGTGAGCGAACATTATTATGATGTTTTTTGTGCAGGCGCGCATGGTAAATCCAACAAAAATGCTCTCATTTTTTTTTCACTCTGAAGAATTATTTCAATTTCTCAACCCTAGCTGTCACGCCGGGACTTATTGAAAAAAATTTGTGGACCGTAACCCGCGCCGACGACTAACTCTTCAATTATACCATGATTCAGCAGAGATTTTTTCTACATTTTACTCTGAAGACTGCATAAACTGTAAATTGCAAAGAATTATTTGCTTGCAAGTCACTGATTAAACGGTTCGGTCGGAAGTCGTTCAGTTACACGTCGAAACTTCGATCTATCGTTCGAAGGTCATGAAATGGAACGTTGCTAAAAAAGTTCGATCAGCGTGTCGTTCAACCGACCATTCCTAAAAGCTTTAGTGTAGTCGACTAGGCCGTGAACAAGAAATTTCAATGCCATATCGAACAACCGTCTTTGGAGAACTAGACGTTCAAACGTGTAGTTAATCAAGTTGAAAGAAGGGTCTATGATCTTCTGCGATCTTCTGTGCAGTGGTCCATTTAATTCCGCACTCACTAGTCAGAAAAAAGCGAATCTTGTAGCTGGAGCTCAGAAATTTTGTTCTAGGTGGAAGCATGGAATTAAGACAGCCAAAAAACAGTAAGACATCTCAGCTTGTGACGTCTCGCATTTAAATTTAAGATCTGGATTTGAAGCACTAAAACAACTTGAAAAGAAAAGATAAAATTTGAATAGCTAAATGGAAAACAAAGTTGAGGAATAAAGTGAAATTGAAAGGAAATAAAGCCTGTCGCGAGAAGAAGAAGAAGCTTAGCCAGCGTGTGCGCAAAGGATCGCGACAGCACGCGTCAATTTCTGTTGTTCAGACCGTTCCTTTCAGATCTTTTTTTGCTTCCTGGTAGTTTGCGAGTTTCACCAAAATCAGAAGATGTCAAAAACAGAAACCTAAAATAGATAAAACTTATGTGGAAAATGAGTTTTCCCTTCCGCATTCCCTAAATTATAATTTTCGAATGAAAAAGATTGAAAAAAGTTTACGAGCTTAATGGAAAAATCAAAAAAAAATATTCTGTGCCACTTGGAAAAAAAAGAAGCTGGAAGCCTCTTTGGAACAACAAAATCAAGGTTCGACATCCAATTTTTGAATATGATGCCAAGAAGATCTCGAGCATCGAAAAAAAAAAATCACCTTTTTGGGTAAGATCCAGTCCAGGGCAACGGCTTTGTTGTCCGAAAGGATCAGATTTCCTTGATTCTTTTCAGTTTGCGTGCGGATCTTCAAAGTTCAAGGAATTGGAAAAAGGTTTCAAACAAGAAAAAAACTTCTTTTTTTTTGGCATCATTCAATTCGGGCGCCAGCTAGATTATTCGTCATCAAAAAAAAAAGCCCTTTGATCAGAAACTCTGTACTCTGAACCTGGAAAAAAATTAATTTTCCTGGACAAAATTATTAGGGAAAGAATATTTTTCAATTTCAAACTAATGTTCACAAAACGCGTTTTTTTCCGCTAGCTGACAACGCTTGAAGGTTGAAATTTTCATCTTTAAATGCCTAATCAGCTTTTTTTGACATTTTTTTTCGAAAATGTGATTTATTTCATCATTTTAATCAGCATAAGAAAAGCACACAAAATTAAATCACAATTGGAACTACCAAAGGAATAAATCATAGTGATCTGTATATTTACTTCTAACTCAATCAAACCGGTAATATTTTTTTTCCGTGGGGGTCAAATCACATAAAAAAGTATATGTAGATGCGAGAAGCAATAATGAACTGAAATGAGTGAAAGGCTGAAAGGCACGAACTTCCACTAAAAATCCATTGAGATTAAAAAAAATCAGAGAAAATCAAAATTCGACTTCTTTCCTAGAAAGACTTTAATAAAAGGTTCAAACGCAAAAATTCTATATTCTTCAGGTCAAGACAATTGTTAAAAATCGAAAAAAAGATGCGATTTGAATAAATAAATATAAATGAAAAGGTTGGGAAAGGCAAATCACATATTTTGTTTGCCGAAACAAAAAGAAAAGAAGGTCATGAGTAAAAGTTTCAAACGGTAGTGATAATGAAGCCGAAGTTATAAAAAAAGAAGTTATATATAAACTTATGAACCCTGTCAAATAGAGAAATGAGTAAAAAAAACAATAATGAAAGAACCCTCTCTTGAATCTAATGCTCATAGAGCAAAGGCGTGAGAGTGTCATCTTACTTTTTCTGAGAAACATGGAATTTTGAGATAATTTGTTTTATATTCGCAAAAAAACCTTTATTTTCCAAAAACTCCATATTTCTTTCTACATTTTCCTTATCTCTGAACAGTTCGGTATTTTCTCTTCAAAACAAACTCGCAACACGAAAACCAATAAAAACCCGATTCGATTGCTTCAAGGAACTTCGCCGTATTTGCGACGCCGGTGAGACAACTGTGGACTCGTCTCCTCGCTGTTTATGCTTCTTTTTCGCTGGTTGCCTGAAAAAAATCCTTCTTTGCATAAAAAAACAGTGCTTAAAATGTTTAACGTTTCGTGCAAAGTAATCGAGAGTTGACGGACTTATAATAGCCTTCCGAGTAATCTAACATGCTCTCGTTCTAACGTCGGATTCCCAAGCAGAATAAAAACAGAAAACTCAAATGTTTACGATTAAGTTCAAAATCGTACTTCACAATACTCAATAAGAGAAAGAAGCCATACTCAGCAAATACATATCATGGAAGTTCCAAGTGAGAGATGAAGCTATAGTCCGTTTGCCGCGACTTGACAGTTTTCAAATGTCTGCGTTTCTCTGTTCCCTTAGCGGCGAGGTCAGAGAAACAGGAAATTAGCAGGTAAAATGAGAGGGTCGCGCAGAGACGAGGAGGGCGCAGAGAAGTCCCGCCCTTTCAACGCGCAAAAAACAGACTACAGACAACGTTGAAAACTGAAGAAGCTCAGACAAAACAGAAAAAATCTTTCGTTTTCGGGCAAGTTGCCTAGTTTTTGGAAAAAATCAATCGTAGTACCTATATACAAAAAAGGAGATCCAAACGACGTAGGTAATTATAGACCAGTTAGTTTGACATCAGTCCCGTGTAGAGTTTTAGAATCTTTAATGGTGAGAGCTTTGAGAAACCACATGTGGCAATCTTCGCTCATCTCTGATAGCCAGCATGGATTTTTAAATCATCGCAGTACTATCTCCCAATTGTTGCCACTTCAAAAATATCTGTTTGAGGAAACTCGAAATCATTACGTTGAAGTCATATATTTAGATATTAAAAAAGCTTTTGACACGGTTTGTCATAGAAGATTGATTGAAGTCTTGAAATCCTACGGATGTAAAGGAGTAATACTCAACTGGTTCGAAGAGTTTTTGAAAGATAGATCACAAAAAGTTAAAGTCAGTAACAGTATTTCGAATGAGATAAAAATATCGTCAGGTGTACCGCAAGGTAGCTCATTAGGACCTCTTATGTTTTTAGTATATATCAATGACTTGTCAGAAGTTATTAAATACTGTAACTTGAGCATGTTCGCAGATGATTGTAAACTGTATTTATCTAGTAATGTAACAAACCATAAAGCCAAACTTCAAGAAGACTTAAAAAATGTATACCAATGGTTAGAGGGCCGTCAACTATCAATATCTCCTGAGAAGTGCATGTTAGTTCAGTTTGGAAAAAAAGACAGAACCCAGTACATACAAAAATTAACGATCAAACTCTTAGCACTAAACAAAAATGTCAGAGACCTGGGATTCTTCTTCACGAGTAATCTGAAAAATGGGGCACCATGTGAGTATAGTAGTACAAAAAAATGTATGAAAAATAATAAATAATTTATTTCGCTGTTTTTCATTTCTCTCAAAAATAACTTTCTAAAAATGCTATAAAGCCAAAAATCTTGCCTATCATTGAGTACGGATCCGAACTAATGTGCCCGCTAAATTTGAATGATATAAATCAACTAGAATCAGTCCAGAGAAAAATTTACCAAAAAGATTATATCCGAAATTGGATTATCGCAGTAGATTAGCCAAACTGAAACTATCGACGTTATGGACTAGAAGACTTTTTTTAAAGACGTTTGTTGCGTTCACAAATACATTCATGGATATTTTTGGAGTGAGTCGCCTGTTAAATTAATGATGAATTCGAGTAGAAATAATCAACTCAGAGGAAATGGAATGAGACTTGTTCAACCAATGAATGAATTGATCAAACAACGCTTCCTAAATCATAGAGTCATACCCATTTGGAACCAACTGGAGAGAGAAACTATCATTGAATACGAAATCGGCAAGTTTCAGATTATGCTCACCTCATGGTTCGAATCAAACACATCGTTTTTTTGAAATCATTAGATCCTACTAAAAAAACTAGAAAAATTCTAACTTATTAAAAAATACAAAGAACAAACTTAAATACCAAATGGGGGTTAGCACCGTCTACTCAGACAATCTTTTCCTCCAGCCGTTTCCACAGATCAGCTGTTAGATTTATTTGATTGTCTTGATGTTTTATTTTTTTGTATTTGTCGTGCTGATTGCGGAATGGCGAATAAACACTTGAAATGAAATGAATGACCGGCGACTTTTTCGATTTTTTCATAAAACTTGGGAACTTTCCAACGAATCCGTTTCGACTTTTTCCCCTTATATTTTTCGATTTATAAAACATCGATTACCATTTTTTTATATTCCTTTGTGCTTTAATAGTGAATCAACTACCTACTTTATATAGGAAGATTCAAAACGGAGATTTTATCGAGAAAAAAAAGGGAACTTCGGAAAACTTCTCCGTCGGAAAGTTCCCCGTAAAGTGTAGTGTTTCGGGTGCATGCACTGCGGCGCTATCGCACATGCCGTGTTTCTGGCGAAATTCAGAATAATTTCTCAATTTCCGAAATTCATTTATATTTTTCACTTCTTGGTGGCTATTTTGAATACCGTGGAATAACTTTGAACGCGGCAACAGAAAAATTGCGCTTTTTCAAAGAAAAACGATTCGTCTCATGACCCATTGAACATGCGCCTTTAATATTCTCTGTTGTTCAGGCTTGTTACCCATGACGTCACATGGGAACGGCGAAGGTTTTAACTCCGCCAATTTCATTTCTAGTTTTGCATTTTATTCAACCAACAAAAACGCCGTGAATTGAGAAGTGAGACTTCGTGGGCTGATATCCAAGTTGAAACGAAAGAAGTATATATAGAAAAGGTTAGTTATTTTTTCGATTATGATACCAGAAATTATCCAAAACCTGAGAGTTATAGCAAAAAAAAAGCAAACAAGGGCAAGCACAGACCATGTTTTGGATACCTCGAAGAAGTTCCGAAATAGCGCTAAGCTCGCGGACAATGTCGCCCAACTGATGTTCCATGGCTGTCATCCGGAGAGACAGACCTTCTTGGGTCGAATGAACGTCGTGAACCAGTTCGTAGGTGTTCGATGAGCTCTGTGCAAATGTGAATATTTTTTAACGTCCGGATTTACCAACTGCAAAGTAAAATTACCTTCCTTGTCAGTGGATTCGCCGATTTATCAATGTACTGAGGATTCTTATCATTTTAAATATGGCACATTTTAATTAGTACTTAAGGAAATATAAATATCCAAGATTTTGGATGTCCTTCCCCTGACCTTTGCCACGTCGCCCAACGACACCAGATTTTCTGCCAACTTTCGCTGTTCTCTTTTAACGCGTCTCATCCTGCAAACGCTCAGGGAAAAATTGAAAGTTTGGTGAAAGTCGTACTCGTAAATCGCGACAAGGAAATTGCGTTGATGTTGTCGGACACGAGCGTAGTCGCATTTGTTGGCCAGTTTGCGGTATTTGTAAATGAACCAAGTTTCCCGCAAAACGTTTGCTGCCGAGTGTTTCAACTGAAAAAGAAAATCGAAGATTCAAGGTTCAAGGGCGTTGCGGTTAGTTACAGTCTTTCCAAAAGCGTTTTGTTTTCTTTAAAAGGTCTCAAACCGCACATTGGTCCGCCGCGATAGAAAAGCGATGTCGATGCCGGAACGTTGAAAAACTTCCGAATATCTCGCTAAGTCCTCGTGCAGAACTAGCATTTCTCTTAGCGCGACCTCGCTTTTTTAGGCACTGAGAAATCTTACTAAGGAACTACGCGGACTCGTAATCGCGGAGCAAGTTCGAATTTTGGTAGTCTACACACTTAGGTCAGAAAACTTGAAAAAAGAAAGAATATTTGCTAACCCCGATGAGGTTCCCAGAAAAATTTTGTCGCAAACGGGCAGATTAGGCTTATAAAATTTCATGATATTGAGAAAATAGTATTCTGAAAATGTTCGAATCTGTTTATTTGCAACAAAACTCTGTCGGTACCTTATCGGGATTAGCAGGTAGTATCTTTTTTTTTCAAGTTCCCTTACCTAGAGAAAGTCCCAGCAAGCGAACTTCAAATGTTACACCGGCTTTGGGCTTTCATTCAACTTTATCAATTTTTCATGAATGAATCTAACTTCCTCGAAAAAAATCAAATTAACTTAAAACGACGCAATTTTGTTGAAAATTCATACTATAAACTTAAAGATATCAAAATTTCCATGTAAAAAAAAATATACCTGCTTTGTAAGCTGAGTATCCATCATAAAGTTGTGGACGTGTTTTTCGGCCCGAGTTAATTCAAGTTTTCGAGCGATCACTGCCACCACCATTGAAGAGGCGCAAGTACCCTAAAAAGTAACTCAAGAAATCGCATTCTGCAGTTATCTGTTTTACAATTTTCATCTAACAAAAGTTGCGATGCACCCCGCAGTGTTACCAGAGGTGCACGCCGTTTTAAAGGCCTATTAAGGGGATTATCTCAAATGAGAAGTACCTAACAGTGCAAAAAGTCGAGGTATCAAGAATTGATAAAACATTGCAAAAGGATACTTAGAGCTTTTTGATTCCAAGGAAATTAAAAAAGACATCGAAATAAGTTACTTCGATATGGTCAAGCATTTTTATGGTCGAAAAGAAAACGACCCACTAAAACGAGTCCGATCTTTCTCAAACTTTTTGTTCTTTCCTGTTATATCATTTAATTCCTGTCTCGCAGAACTAATAACTTTTTTCGCATAGCTGACGTAAAGACTTTTATTTTCTGAAAACAGAAGCGGAGAATCGGTGAGCCAGCGCAGCCGAGCAAGCAAGGAATTTCTAGAGCTAATTTTCAAGACTTTTCACGTCTGAAGTCGGAAGTATAAAAAAGAAAGCTTTTCCAACTTATTATCAAAGTTATCTTCAACGTTCTAGATTTAGGTGTGTTTCAAACTTAATTTCCGTCAAGTCTCATCGAAGATCAACCGGCCACCAAAGAAAAACTTCCCTTATAAGTATTTTTTTTTCGTATGAAATATATTTCAATGTTATTGCGGAAAAAATAAATACATTTTCAAGAGCCTCGATCCACGAATTACACATTTATTCAGTCTTGAGAGAAGATTCTTCGAGAATTTATTAATTTATTTACTCTCGATCGACACCAAAAAAAATTCTGCTTTTTTTTTTACCTTTTCACGTGAAAATCATCATTCTCAGCAGCTGGAAAAAGTTTTTAAGTAGGTAAAAATTACCATAATTCCTGTCGCCACAGCCATTGCTCTGCCACAGTTGGTTTTTGGCACAATATCTCCTGTAAGAAAAACTTAATTATACGTACAGCTCAGAAGCGCTTCAAAAATTCAATTCGGTGTATTGTCGAACCATGAGTTCCTTCTAAGTAATTTCTGTTTTTCATCTCAATAAATGAAATTTCTCAGAGGTCCATAACCCAACATTGTTTTCTTGATCTTAGACCACTCAAAAAAAAACAAAATAGTTTCTTGTCACTCACTATAATAACAAATAAACCAGTTGATGTTCCAAGAATAGAACGTAACAAGAAATTAAATTAAAATATCATTAAAGGCATAGGGGCAGTAAAAAAATGGGGTTTCAGGTGAAAGCAGTATCATATATAGTTTTTCTTTGCGAATCGAACGGTGTATTCAAAACACGTACAGATGTGACAACTTTAGAATAAAAACGCGATTTTACTTTCCCGCCTTTAATTTTGAAAAAAGCTTTGGATCGGCCTACGGACAAATGTTTACAGTAGCCGTGCACGCAATGTTGCGGACATCTCATTAGACTCGCATTTTGTGGGAAATAACCGGCTATCTGCTTCAAATTAAGGATTTCTTCTCTGAAAAAAACGTTTAGTCAAACAAAAAACACACACCGATAATAAAGAAAACACAGAATAACGCTATCCCAATCTAAACCTGTGTGAAATCATCATTTTTCACCAGAGAAGCATTTTTGCGACCAAAGTTTGCAAATTATACATGAATAGAAAGCTTTTGGGACGAAAAGAACTTTGGTGACAACAGAAAAAATTGAAAATTGAAAGAAACGAAGAAAAAAGCGAATATCCGGAAGATGGCGAAGCCTGTTGTCCATAGAGCAACTTTACTGCAAAGCGCCCTTTTCGCGTAACTTTCCTTTCTCCGACTTTGAATTGTTTTTTCTTCAAAACTAGGAAGTTTGGTACGTTTCCAAGTTCACCGTTCGATTCGCAATGAAAAGCTCTACAAATTACTGCTTTGAACTGAGACACCGTTTTTTACTGCCCCTATGCCTTTAAAGTACTGGAAGTACTAATCGAATACTTAATCGAGTCTTTGAAAATTTCTGAAGCACTATAAAAACTATTTGAATAGTTAATCATCGCAGCATACCGTAGCCAACGGACAGAAACGTGATGGCAACAAGCCAAATCGAATTGATGTAGTCAACTTCTTTTCGCACATCGTTTTCCACATATTCTCTATAACATTTTAATTTTCTGTATAAGCTTGCAATTCCTTTTGCAATGCTGAAGCTGAGACGCCGCTAAATAGTAACCTGGGACTTTGCCTCAATTACAAGAAACCTGTTCAGGTGAGCCCTTTTACCTCATATAGAAATTTTTTTACATCTAATTGATTCCTCTGAATGGGAGCTCAAAACTTCCCCTGCCGCATGATGTTTCTTCACACTCAGACTGCTAGAAAACGACGAAATAGCATGCGGCAGAGAAACTATTGGACGCGCCTTGGGGGCTCCAGTTCAGTCTTTTTGTTTTTTTATTCTAATTTTTGATGTATTTAACGATTTACTTTTTGCAGCATTTATATTTTTCAGTAGTAACTTTAAAAAAAAGAATGTACCGTGGGTTACATGAAAATTTCGATGTTGTGCCAACTCTTACTAAAGAAGAATGTAGCTGGGCAGGAGTTCTAAATTAGCGTAAAAATTCCTGATAAAACTCGACAAATATAAATTTGCCGGAAGATATCCGAGAACAACTTCTTTTTTTTTTGATCTTCAAGGGAAAGAGCTAGTATTGCAAAAACCATCAGTAAAACATATAAAAAATAGAAACATAGAAAAAACAGTTGAGAAGCGATTAAATGTAAAAAAAAAGTGAAATAATTGAGGCAGAGCCCCTGGTTACTATTTAGCGGCATCTCTGAAACAGTGCGGAAACCTTTCACAAAGCCGCAAAATCCAGCCAGCGATGACCCACAACGACGCCGTGAAAATCATCAACATCTTTCCTAGAAAATTTATTAAAATAAAATACATATCTCTTTTTCTTAAAAAAAAATTAATTTCATTGGACTAAATGTGGATCAAGGCTTTGGAATTACTCGGCGGAACCGGTTCAAATCATTCCAAAGAAAATGTGGGCGTATAGCAAATTCTCATGAAACGTCGCAATTTCATTCATAATACTTAATTGAACCTGGGCAGAGCGTCATCAGAGTTTTCAAAATGAACCGAGCGTTGAAATTGACTCGATTCAAACCGGCGATGCTACGGCTACTCGCGTCAGTGAACAACCTGAAAACGAAATTAACTCTAAGAAATGCAATATAGTCAATGTTTCCCGACTTGAAAGGCGAGGGAAGCGGGACAGGCGGCGGGACGTGTAGCGTGTGCGTTCGCGGTTCTTGGCACGAGTTCAATTCAACCGCTCGTTTATCGCTCTTTTCATTTATTTTAAAAGTGTTCATTGATCCTTTTTTCATGTCTGCATTGAAAAATAGTAGAACATTTCATGTCTGCATTGAAAAATAGTAGAACAGCGAGCTTTTTCGAATAGTCGGTGGCGGTTAAATTGAACTCGTGTCAAAAACCGCGTGCGCACACGCTACGCGTCCCGCCTCCCTCACTTTCCAATTCGGAAAAAAATGACTATAAAAAGTTTGATTACCTAGAATGAAGCAACATTACTCGACAAACCCAATAGAGTCGGAAGAACATTACGATTGAAAGGAACTCGTTCAGGCGCTCGAGAGTCTGAAATCTCTCCAATCTTAGGATCTCCAAAGTGTTCCCTATTAGGGCAAACACAGGGGCATTTAGAGCGTTCCCTGTAGAGGCCACTTAAGCTTGCAAAAATGGACTTTATAGGAGTTTTAGTTATTGAGTTATCGGAAATTTTTCATAAAAAATATGCGAATAAACATTTCCATGCGAAAAACTGAACAATTAAGCGTTTTTTGAATGAAATTGAAAAACCATTAAAGGGACCCCCATGAATGGAATTCCTGAGATCACTGAACACTTCAGGACATTTTTGATTGTTTTTGAATTCTTTTCCGAAGTTTCTATGGCTATGTTTTATATCAAAACATATTCTTCTATGTGTTCAATCAAAGGCTATTCGATTATCAGACCAGAAACACTATTTTGAAACTTTACAATAGCCTTTTGGAGCTGAACGTTATTATTGAGTGGTCATTTCAGGAGTTTGAAGTTTCAGTGGCCTCTGTAGTAGTCGAATAAGTGGCTACTCATGTGACTAGAAATTAGTGACCTCTTTAGAAAAAAGTCTTGATGGTCCTACAACACCACTCAAAATTCCTACAGTGAACAATAAAACGCAAAACAGTTGCTTCTATAGGGGTCGTTTTAGTGGTCACTTTAGCATCCTCTAAGTAGTCCTTGAAGAACCTCTTTAGTGGCCAATAAAACGTTTCCCAGCAGATTCAAAAATGGTTTTTCGAATGTAAATATGATCTCTCACTAACATTTATACAGAGAATTTTTTTCTTTTCAAATTCCACCTTACGAATAAAATATGGATCAATAAACCCATTTCTAACCGTCCAACCCAGTAATTACCACCTTTCACGGAAACAAGAAAGAGAAAAGTTCACCCATTTTCCGATTATCCGAGAGCCGAAAAGCTCGAAAGGCATCGGACACAAAACACATATCAGTAACTCGCTGACTACCTGAAAGTTAAAGCGTTCATTGAAAGAGACCTCAAAAGAGGGGGTTTTTTTTTCACTGTTCGTTGTATTTTCAATATTATTAAAATCATTATTTAAAGCTCTGCTGTGTTCCTAACAAAGAAGGTCATTCAACTTTGCGGTTGGGAATTTTCTTATAGTTGACCAGAACACTTCTTGATCTATCAGATGAAGATTCTGAAAGTCTCACCCTGCAAAACTCTCTAGTTTTCGAGAAAGTAGATCTTAAATTCAAGGAATCCTCTGAAAATACGTAAAAGGGTTTTTGAGACTTTTTATTGATTCAAAAAGGACTAACCTGTACCGATCTTCTCAATGTAATGGCTACCAGCCAGTCATCTGCTGCGTTTGCGTTCATGAAAAGCTAAAAATAATCGAAATCAAGTTTTCGAAAACTCATGCAAATAGAGGTGTACACTAGGAGATAGCCCATTTTAAGTTCAGTGAATTCACCTTGAATATGGCATAAACTACCAAACCTAAGTACCACTGTTGTATTTGAAAAGTAAAAATAAAAACAGGAATAAAAAAAAGAAAAAGTATGAAGAAGAAAGAAAAGAAAATACTGATCAATGTTTAGTATGATATTTTCTATTAGGTTGTTCTAAAAGTCTTTGTGCACTTTATTCATTTTGCAGTGAACTCTCACCTGAACCTCGATAAAGTGAAAACACCCGACAAAAAATAATAGAGCAGCTGTCGTCGTTAAAATACACGCTCTCAGAGAAATACTGTACAAAGAACCCTAAAATCGAATCAAATTTCCAGAATTTAATAAAATAGCTCACAAGACGTATGACCATGGCCGAACGTAACTCGCTTTCCACGATCATCAAAACTGTAACAGATATGAATCGAAACAAATTTGAAAAGAAAAAACAAACGAAAAAATCAAAAACTGCACCTACCAATGCCTAGAACGGCAAAGAAAAGAGCTCGATCGCAAACGATTCGACGTTTCTCGTGCAACTGTTCGCGTTTTATCAACCTCCCGCCACTGAAAAGCGAAAAGTTGATGTTGAAAGTTCGAATGGAGCAATCATTCTTGCCGACCATATGATTTTAAGAACTGTTCAAAAGTTAACCCTGAAAGTTTCAACTCAGTCAGTCTAGACTGAAACTTTTCCACGTAAGCCTTCAACATTTATGTTGTGCGACTTCATGCGATATGTTTTGGAGTATTGTGAGCTTGATATTGCTAGAAAAACGGAGTTCACAAAAAACCTTGAAGAAGACCTCAAATTAAGAAAAAACCTTCACTTTAAGGTTATTTGATAATTTCTAAAAAATCATAATCTTGGCTGTAAGTGTCCTTTATTAATTTATGAATTGTCTCTATTAATTGATGGATTTTTCGAAAAAGTTCGGACATAAAATGTTTTTTCCGAGTCTGCGAAAAAATTTTTTTCACACAGCCTTTGCATATTTTTTCAATGAGTCGTTCAATCAGCTGAATTAACCTGTTTTCGTCTTTACTATTCATCAAAGGAGTGGTCGGATCTTCGCCATTGAAAGCTCCACCGCAACCGGCGTTTTTCCCTCCTGCCTCTAAGTCATTCGAATAGGCAATCGAAACAGATTTTCGCGACGCTGTTTCACCTGAAAAGCAAGACTGAAAATAATGAAAGAGAAGGTGTCAAATTTAAAGTCCGTGTTGAGTCTTCACTCGAAGTGGCTGCTCTCATTACAAAGCTTCCACCAAGAGCACGGTCACCGGGCTCCAGCCGAATATCCGCTATATTTTTAGCTCATTAAGACGCAAATTTTAGTCAAAATAGAAACTGTAAATTTCAAAAATTCATATCTCGGCTCAAAATGCCCAAAATCGGGTAAGGTCAAGTTTGTATCGTGTTCAGAGAATCATTTTTATATAGAAACATCAGGTACTCTCAAGAACTCTCAGGGTTCTCGAAATATTGTTTTTTCCTTAATTTGCGTCAAATTAGTCATTGCAAACTTCAAAAATGTATATCTCGGCTCAAAACGCTCAAAACTGGATAAAGTAAAATTTTTCATTGTGTTCAAAGTTATAGGACCATCCCTTACCCTCAAAAACTCAAAGGGTTCTTGAAATATCTATTTGCTAAAGGTTTTAAAGGCCCTTCCAAAAAAAACCTATTTCTCAATGATTAAAGAAAAATTTTTGCTGGTTATTATCAGACTATCCAATGAGAAAAAAACCCTCACGATCAGTGCTGATCCAGCTTAAGCCCTGAGGGCCGAGAATCCTTCGAAGCAAAGCCTGTTCCCTCGTCGGCAAGTAGGCCATGCTCATCCTTCTTCCTCCGTTTGCAACGCCAGGATCCACATGCGGACAGTTGCGAAACATAGACTCGGAGTTTGAACGCTGTTGAAGCGTGGACAGTCGCCATATCGATGGGTCTCTCCGCGCTAAGCCGCCATACGACGAGCCGGAAATAGTCGGTGCAGTCATGTAGGACGAGTTGGGACTCGTCGAATTCTTGTAGGAATACTGCATGGAATTCCTGATCCTGGCAGGCCTTTCGAACATGTGATAACTTCCGGAAGCACTGACGCAGCTCGACTTTGGCGACGGTGCTGGAGAAGGCGGCACGTCGAACGAGAGTTGCTTCGGAGCGGCGGTGAGTCGCGGAGCTCTCAAGATGCTCTTCGCCGGATAGTGCTGTTGGCAGAACTGGTGTGGAAGATGCTCGGTCGAGCAGCTCGGCGACGCCAGCATCCCTTTGCTTCTCCCTGAGCTTCTACACTTGCCTCGTTGATTTCTGTGCCTTTTCCAAGAAAAAAAAAACAGAAGAAATCGGTGCACTTTGGCTATTAGACAAGGGGAAGAAAAAAAAATAAAAGATGATCAAGATACGCCTAAAAATAAAGCGCTAACCTGCTATTTACCAAAAAAAGTCTCTGTAATTTTAAAAATTTTCTTAAAGATGCAGGGTACCGAAAAATATTTTTTTAATTCCGATGAAGTTGATTTCAAAAACGTTTGAAAAAGCAACGCAGAAAAATTTTTAACGGTTAAGCGATTAGAAATTCCACCGAACTTTTCCTTTTCAACGGTTCAGCTTTCGAATTTTTAACCAAATTATTATGTTTTAATGGTTGTCGATAGAAATAGTTGAACGGTTGAAAATCTACTAGTGAACTTTTTTGAAACCAACTCACAAGGGATGTGTGCGTGGTAAACATCGACTTATGAATTTATAGAAAAAAATAATTTTTTTCTCACTGAACTTTTCTCAGTCCCGAATAGACAATATTTTTGAATTAGAAAAGAAAAAAATTCATTTCATTTGAAATACTGATTAGTATCAAAAATAATAGTAAAAATAATAAAACAGGTAGGAATAAAAAATAAACTGTTTATCTGTTTTTTTTTGTCAAAAAGCACATAAAATTGTCGAATGGCACATAAAACTTCTGAAAAATAAAAAAATTAAAATGAGAAGGAGAAGAGCGGAATCTCATCGAAGAGAAGCCTCAAAATCTTTTGAATTTTTTTGAGATTCGCCAAAGTTTGAGTGCCTTTTTTTCCTTGATGAAAAGTGTGGAGGAAAAAAAGAAGCAAAAAGGAGGTAGAGAAAAACTGAGGATCATTTTTTTCGTTGGCTTTCATAATTGGATGTTCGGCCTTGCAAGCAATTCTTAGAAAAAAATTTAAATGACGTGAAACAAATTTGATGGCGTGAAACAAACACGTGAGCCTCTCGAATGGTTTCTTTCCTTTCATAAAATAAATAGTACAGTTTTTTTCCCGTAATTGGTAAAGTTGGTCATGCATTATGCAAAAATTGTCTATCCAATTATTCTTATACAAGTCAATTTTTTCTGACTCATAAAAAAGATATGGCTGGATTAACAAGACTTGTTATGCGGCTTTGCTTTTGGTGGGAAACTCAAAGTGAAACATGAGTCACCTTTTTTTGTTTATTTCAATTTTTACCACTTTCCCGGTAATAACTTTTAATTTTTTGCTTAAAAAACCTATTTTTCAGCACTTTTCCTAAGATTGCATTTTTTTTTTCTGGTTTTTTTCGCCAAAAGCCGCGCCGCGTACGCAACACGCCACTCTTGTCAACCGACCCTTTTAAATCGGGAAAAGTTGATTATATTTTCAACGGAAATGTCACATTTATAAATAATGTTGAGCGGAACACGTGCCAAGGACCGCGAACGCACACGCTACGCGTCCCGCCCCTTGCGCCGCCTCCTTCGCCTTTCAAGTCGGGAAACATTGACTATATCGCGATTTAGATTCATAGATAGGGAGCGCAAAGCACCACCCCTTCACGCCACCAAAATGACGATTTTTTTTTGTTGCAAAAACGGTTTTGAGGCGTTTATACTAGCTAAAGTCCCACTTTAAAAATGAACTGTTTCTGTTAATCTATGTAATCGACAACGCTCTACAAGACTGAATATTTTTTTAAAACTATGTATTTTTTTCAAAAAAATAAGCGAAAAAAAGTAAGATTCAACACGATAAAAAAACTGACAAGTTTCACAAAATCGTCGCGTTTCAGAAAAACCAAGTGAGGAACGCTTCTAAATTTTAAGTATGTTATACATTAACACTTTCTTTATTTTTTTGAGTGGAAATGAACAAAATCTACCGACGCGAAAAATATTAAAAGCTTGTAAAGTGACGCCAAACTTTGAAGCTGAAATGCGGAAAAATTTCAGCGACATGGTATACTTTTTATTTGATTTAAAAACTCACAATGTGTTCAAAAATAAAAATTCAGAATGAAATTAATTATTGGGACAGCGAATCAAATTATATTTGAGTTTTGCCAAAACCTCCTTTTTTCGCCTGCCTCGTTGACGCATGAGAGAATAGGATCGCGTCTATACTCTTGATTATGTTATTAAGCGTTCAAAACTCTATCAATGAAAAAATTACGAAAAAAATCAAACGACGCGAAAAAAATAACGGCTTTGAAAACCTCGAAAAAATGGCAATTTTTTTTGAAATTTCGGAAGATTTCGTGCAAGCGTCCGTAGCAGTGTTTGCGTCAAACGCACCGATGCGCCCTTTTAAATGTCGCAGGAGCCGTTTTTCGGAGTCAAATTGCACTTTTTCCTGTTTTATTTTGAAATAACATTATTTTTCATTTTTTCTTTTTTCCAAATCGAATGATAATAATTTTTTTCTGAGTAGAAAAAAAGAAAAATTAAGTTGAAAAAAATCCCTTTGACCTTTTTTTCTAGGTAGTTTTTTTTGATATTTTATCAAAAAAATTCTTATGAGGATTGTACAAAAGATTCATACCAAAACATGAGGCTCAGTTCGGACAACCTCTCAGAACAGAAAACCGATTTAAAAACGGTCCAGAAACGCGCAAAAACATTTAAAAAGAAAGCGTGCGGCAGCGGGTAAACCGTGAGATTTCGCCTCCAGTTGAACGCCGAGCGCGCTCGTTTTTTGGCCATAACTTTTTTCTTAGTGGACCTTTTTTCAAAAACTAAACGGATTATGAAAATGGACAGTCTCCTCTATCGAACAATGTGAAAAACATATTTTTTGAATCGTTCTGAAGAAATGGCTTGCGGTCCCTACCTATGTAATCGACAACGCTCTACAAGACTGAATATCTTTGAAACCATGTTTTTTCCATAAATAAGCGAAAAAGTAAGATTTAACTCGAAAAAAACTGACGAATTTCACGAATTCATGGCGTTTCAGAAAACCAAGTAAAAAAAAAGATTTAAAAACTAAAAATGTGTACAAAAATAAAAATTCAAAATGAAAATAATTAAAAACTCCTTTTTTCGCCTGCCTCGTCTCTCTCTAATAAACACCTCTCTGGTGAAGAAACGGAGCGGTTTTTCAAGTTGAGAGGAGAGGGAACTGGTTAGGGGTGGGTTAAATACTTCGCAAGCGTATTCGAGGTAAGGACGAACATAAAGATTGAAAAGAAGCTTATATTGAGGTAAGCCGACATGTGAAAAAGCCTTAAGAAGTTGACGAAATTTCAACATAGCAATATTGACAACATGATTAATATGAGAATCGAAGGTGAGTCCTTTATCAATCAAAAGACCGAGGTCTCTAACCACACTTTCCGATCTTATAAGATTCCCGTTTACAAGATGAATTTTTTCAGGTTTGTTTCTACCTAAAACTTGTGATAAGTTTACTTTTTCAGAAGCGAACCATGAAAATTTCATCATGAAACTTGCGGTATTTGAAAATGAAGAAATTTTCAAGGGCACCCAAAAAAGAAAAAAAGTGGACTGAAAAGTGGCAAGAGAGCACAAAGGACTTTTTTGAATAAAAAGTGGTCTTCTGGGAGAGAAATTAGTGTTCGATGAGCAACTCCGATTAGCTAGAGTAGGTTTTTCATTGCGCAAGTTTCATGGAAGCCGTAGAGGCCCACAGAGTCCGAGAAATTTGCTTTCTCATTCATCTATTAAACAAAACTCCATAACTTTGATCATGAGAGCCGATAAATTTAGAGGAAAAATTGGACGAAAAAAATCTTATGATAAAAAGATGAAATGTCGAACGCAGTGAAACACACATTCAAATGCATTCTCGTTATTTTTCGCGCTTGACTACCTCCAAAGTGCGGTTTTATTTTCTTTCTAGACACGTGAACTTTTCAGTTTTTTTGTTCTGAATTTTCTCAAAATGTTAGAAAAAAATAATATTTTACAGCACGTGTTTGAAGAGCTGTGGAAAGGACCTCACTCGATCTCAGACTTTTTGGCGATTTAAGAAAATATAAAAAAAGCGGCAATTATCGAGTTCATACAAAAATTTTTGAGAGAGTAAATTAAAAATTCGTTAGAGAGTTGCTGAAATTATCGTAATTTAACAGAAGTTTGAGAAAACTTTTCTCTCCGAGTTCTAACACCGCGAAACTTAAATGATCGAATACTTTTGCCGCTAAACTTTTGTTAGTAATTTTTTTTTGAGAAACTATAGTTGAAATACAGAAATTTTTCAGAGTACTGAAGGAATCATGCGAGTATATGCCTTTGCGCAATGAATTGAAACAGCATTATGTGTCTTTGGTTCTGTTTATCCACTGGCGCGGTCATTACCAATGAAAATAGCACCAAAACTCCGATGAGGAAGATTTTCCACATTCGTGGTAAATAAGTTCTAGAAGTTTTAAACGGATGAAAAAAAAATATACACTTCTAGTAAATAATCTTTTGAGAAAAATTTCGAAATTTCCATTTCCGGAACTGAAAGGAAGCAAAAATAATATTTGCCAAAAATATTTTTAAAAAAATTTGAAGGAAATCGAATCCAGCAAAAACGAGCTGAAAAAAAACAAACGGAGCCGAGAGTCAGAAAAAGAAGAGAAATGAAGCCTAAAAGGAGGATTTTAATTACAAGTCCGGCAAAGAGACGAATGTCAAGCGGAAAATGGATGAACCTCTCTTCTTTTTTCTTCCAAATTTTTCCTCCAGCGTCAACCTTATTTTACTTTCTTTTTTTTATTACGAGGCATGTGGGATCACGTGTCACTTGCAGTCTACACATTAAAATGAAAAAGTTTTCAAAAAAGGTTGACGTCAGAAAAAAAAAAACTCTCGCAATATATACACGGGTATGAAAAAACCATAAAAAACTTTTTGGTTAGAAATTAATAATATCTTAGAGGTTTGTTATCTGAAAAATCAGTTTATACAGATTTAACACTGTTGAAAAAAACTTCTAAACATTATTACTGATTAATTCGAATTTTGAAATCCTCTCTCAAGCTATTAAATAACTTTGAAAAATTTGTGAAATTGTAAAAACGAAAATAATAATCAAAAAAACTACTTAAAAATATCTTCTACAGCTTGAACTTTGAAAAATTTGGAAAAGAAAATTTATGTGGGCAAATTTAGGAGAAAAACTTGCTCAGAAAGACATAGAAGCAAAAGATTGTAGGCTGCAGTTGGGATGAAAAGCACATTACCACGGCGACAAAACTTTTACTTCATGGGACTTTTTTCTCTCTATTCTCCGAAACTGACGTTTCCATAGCTTTTTCTCAATACTTTCAAAGTGAAGAGATTAGTAGATGGAGAAGAATGGTCAAATCTTATTCAGAAAAACGATGAATAAAGAAATCGGTGGGTAGACATCTTCATCCCATCTGAAACTTAATGAAAATTCAAAAGTTTTTAGGCGTCGTGAAACTGAAACAAAAAAAAAACGTGATCCTCAACGTTGATCAAAACTTGAGGTAAGAAAAGAAAGCAAAAAGGAATCGAGATTCCCCAGCTTTTGCCTCAAAATAATTATCGACTTAATTTTAATCACACATGAGGAGAGGGAGAAAAAAACGGAAACTTGAAAAGAAAAATTCCAAGTCAATAAAAATGACTTTCCAGATAATTAGATGAATTATTAATAAGGAAAGTGTTCAAAACTTTGAAAGTTGTTGGCATCTATTCAAAAAATAAAAAAAATTATTACGACACAACTTCGAAATGGTATTCTTTTTTAAATATCATAAAGTCCTGTCAAGTAAAATGAAAATCCCGGAGAGTGCGTAGTAGTTGCATTAAAAGCAGAAAAGAACCACCAGAAAGGGCAAAGCACGAGGGGCTCGATTTCCAGGAAATCGAAGCTTTTCCTTTTTCGCACGCGTGTTAAAAATCTTTTTGCCGAGCTAAATCCGAACTGAGAAATTGTCATAATTTAATAGATCGGCTCCAAAATTCTTCTTTTGATATTTAATTAATTTTTTTGAAATAAAATTATAAATCAAAAAAACATGAAACTATATCGGTTCAAAGAACTAAAAGGTTTTTCTTCTATATGAATCAGTTTTAAATAAGAAAGAATAATATTAGGGGATATTTTAATGATAATAAAATGATATGAACTGTTATCTTTATAATTATGTGAAAAAAAAATTCTTTGGAAAAACAAAAAACGAGCTCATGTATCAAGAAGAAGAGCAATTTCAGTTGGGCAAATCCACGGACCCACGGATATTTACTATATTTATATCATTTCTATTCAAGAGATTTTTTTTTTTGGCAAAATAGAATGAAGAAAATTAAAAATTGATGGAACCACTTTCAAGGTAATATTACCCTTTATTCAATTTGGGATAAAAGTTCAAAAATTCAAAGAACTCGCAATTGATGCCTCATAAAAGGAATCACGAGCCACAACTGAAAAAATTGACCCCCTGTTTATGGGGAATGAAGCATACCTGTTCAAAATCTTCAATGAGGTTTTTTTCGATTTCAAACGTTTAAAAACGTTAGAGCCGTAGAGCAACCTTTTAATAAAAATACGATTTTGTGGTTTTTTCGAAACTTTTCACAATTCATTTCAGACAAAATAAAGGATTTATAAACTTTGGAGTGGGTTCAACCTTGGGCGTTTACATAAAAAGTGAGAAATCTCACCAAATAAAGCAACGTCAGCCTGAGTGCCGCTTCGCGACAGTTTGCCGTCAAGGTCTGCATCGCCGGCGATCTGCATTCGCCGAAGAGACCCGATGCGCGGAATATGCGACGTCGACTGCGAATTCTGGAAGACGATTTGTAACAGGCCGTGCCAAAATTAGAGAGAGAAGAAGAAAAAACTGTACCTTTGGCGTGTGATTACCAGTAAGCAACGGTCGAACCGACTGACCTAACCCGTTCATCCTCATCCAATTCATTGAAATCTTCAAATGGAATCGTTACCTTGATTTTGACTTAAGTATGTTTATATTTACATTATATTTGTCACTTGGCGCACCACCATTTGAAAAATAGATGCCCATTCTATCGATGAGCATGCACTCTTCGAGAAAAAATTTCGATCCGAAATGATACCTAGTCTCAAGAAGAGCCCCAGTAATGACCATCTTCAGTACGAGCGAGCCTTTCAGGGAATTTTTGGTCAAATTAGAGCATTAGGAAGAAATAAATTTAAAATTTTTGAAAAAAATAAGCTATCTCGAATGCTGAACAGGGTAACCCAGCCGTGCTCACGGGGTCTCAGCGGGTGCCCCCGTATTAAACCCGTATAAGCCCAGCTGGTAGAACTTTTGGCAATTTTTAGCCCAACTGAGACTAAAATAACCTCAGAAACACGGTTTTAATACGGGTACACCCGTTGAGACACCTGCTCAGCATGCGATCACGCATATCACGCACCAACCTAATATTATATATTTTTGAAAAATCAACCTTCGTTGACAAGAAATGTCTTTTTACACTACGGTTTTGAATATCCTGATAGCCGCTGAAATTCCCAGCCTCAAATTGCAATGGAACTTTTTGTTGGTACAAACAAAGGCTCACTTGAGCCACGTCCTGATTCGAGTCGAAAGAAGATTGAGGAGAGCGGCCCCCCAATAGCGGAAACCCTTTGCCTCCAGACACACCTGCAATTTTGTCATGCCTTTCCATTTTAACTTCTAGTTTCCTTTCGCGGTTACTTTCAACGAGTCCACTCGCGCTGATTAACTTTTTCTTCTGACACCTTTACACACCAGAGATGTGCGGAATGCGCGCTTTTTTGAAATTCCACATTCCACGCTCCCCAGACGAATTGAGAAGGTACCATAATGTGTCTACAAAGGTACCTCTCAAAATGGATCGTAAAGACCCCATAATGTGTCCATCGTGAGATCTCCAGCATACCTTTTAGCTATATCTGAGCCAACTCGGAGGTATGTACTTCAGAGTCTCTCTCAAGCCCCTCTCATTTTGCTTAAAATCCTCAGAGGTATTCAAGGTACCATCGTGAGACTTCGAAGCCTGCGATAAACTTCAGAGGGTTTCGCGATACCCTTTCTCGATTTGACTATGTCCGTAAAATACTATTGCAAAAATATTCCACGCTCCGTAAAAGGTTTTTGCAAAAATGTTTCGCTCCGCATCCTTTGTTTTTTGTATGGCCCCTCGGAAAAAAGAGGGATCCTTCTTGGTATCACTGATAATCAGTAAACTGGCCTTATAAGATTGGTCATTTTACCTTTTGGTTGAAAATTTTCTGAAAATTGGCCAGAACACTCATTGATGATCCAATAAAAGATCCCGGGAGTCGCAACCTGCACAAAACTTCCATTTTTGATTTTTTTTTTTCAGATGAGATCTGCTAAATGTGGAGTATGAATTTAAAAAAATTTTTTCATTAATCTGTTGGGCACTTTAGAAGAAAAAAATCAGCGTAAAAAAACTATTTTTTTTCGCTACGAGTAACAGAAATAGGATTATTAATTATATAGTTTTTGATCTCGCCTGAAAATCCATAGACTCGAACTCTCTGGGGAGATAATGATTTCGCTGGTCCTTTCTTGTGGTTTAATGGTAACTATCTAATGAATGAGTTAGAGAAGTCAACCAAACAAAGTGGAATACAAATAAAACTGACCAGCACTACTGTAACCGTTGCCGCCCGCGCAGGCAAAAGCTGCTCCAGCTCTCGGCATCACAGCTGACCCACCGGAAATACCAGCCCGTCGCTTCCGCTGCAGACGGTACTGAAAAAACAGAGACCTTATTTCGCAGATACATTACAATGAATTTTTTTTTCCTTAAAGAAGAATTTTTTAACAGAAAAATTTCAGTACGCCATTGATAGTGCTCTCATCGAGGCTGTACATGTGCTGAAGCGTCATTGGCGACGCAGACATCCGACAGAAGATACCGTATGAAGACGCTTTTCCTCTAGAGAGTCTTAACAATGTGTTAATTGAAAGGGCCAAAACCTGTTAGAAGAAGCAACGGAGCAATCAGCGCAAACTGACAAAATTGTAAATTTTTAGGAATGAATGGTTCATATAAGGGTTAGGGAGGATAACAGCACCAATAGGGGCCGAGAAAGCGGTCTTTATTGAGGTAAAATCAAGGAAGTCCCTATAGGAGTTTCGGGTCTGACCTTTCAGCTTCTGAAGCTTTAGGAGCCCCTACAGTGATTGATAAAGTGATCTTTATAGAGGACCCTTTAAGCGCCCCTAAGGTTGCCCTTATAGGAATTATTATGGAGTTCTTAAGTTTGTGTTCAAAATTTGAAGAAAGATGCTAGGATTTTGTAAGGTACAAGCCAAAACTTTTCGACTTTTATTTTCCTGCAAGAAAATTTAGAACCTTCCACACACTGCTAATGAAGCTGTTGTTCACGTTATGAGGATCAACTTCGGTTGATAAATTTCTAATAATAGAGTATTGTAGAACATTAGCGATGCTTTTAAATTAAACTTTTCTTGTTCGCTCACAGACGAAATCCCATGGCGTAGAGCTGGAGGACCGGGACAGTTATATTTGCCTCCATTTCAATAATCCACTTACTTAAAGATATTTTGGGTCGAATCAAAGAGAACTTTGAAAATTTAATATATAAACAAAATTTGAAATCATTTTTTGATATTTACATTTTCGGTATCTTTGAAAATATATCTTTCTTGGGTGAAGTTAAGTTTCAAGTGTGGGGTAAAGTTATTTAAACTTTGAATTGAGTAGCAATGAATTAAATTTTCATTATTAAAATCATACTTTTCCCTGACGCGATCGCTTTTTTATTTGTGAAATATCATAAGAGAAAAAAAAATCATGAAAACGTACCAGAAAAGCTGGGCGAGGCTTTACGCAATTCGATTATTTGAAAGAAAAAGAACAGCTAGTCGATAACCAGGAAGCGAAAAAATCTTATTATTTGATTGTTGTCGGGTCCTGGAAAAAATTGGAGGCAAAAATATGTGTAAAAATGAACGTCTTTTGCGTTATTTTCATTCTTCAGTCGTTTTTTTTTATTCAGACGTCATTTAAGCTTGAAAAGAAGAATTGATCGTATCAAAAACTTCAGTTGGTTCATTAAATTTGAATGGAAAGCAGAAATTATGTAGAAAAAACATCTCTGGAATTTTGATCGAAAAAATCAGCGAGAATAGACCATGGGGAGTCATATCCTAAAGAACTTCATTGTTTCTAAAATTTTTCGGGCAAAGTTTTTTTTTGAAGAAGCTGTCTTAACTAAAACTCCGTTGCTAGGATGACAAAAAAAAGTTTGATTCGATTTTTTTTGTAGTGCAAACAAGATAAAAGAAAAGCATTCTCCATTCGAGTCACAAGAGAAGGAAATCAATAATTGAAATGACAAATGGTGAAAGAAATTATGGAATGCATCTAGAAGCTGATATTCTCATATACAAGGAGGCGAAATCGATATAAAATCGAAAACGGATCGAGAAATTGCGTGTTTCTCGGCATTCACTCATCAAAGATGATGTCAGAAAGTCATGAACGAGTTCGTTGAAAGGAGAACCTCGTAAGATTGGTAATAAAACCCAGAGATGGATGAGAAAAAAAAATGGGCTCTCTTTTTGAGAAAATCTGCTTTTTGGTCTGAATATGATGTCGAAATGACGCAAAAGGATCATTCCGAGGTTTTCCCCAAAATTGGCAGCGGTAAGAATTGAGGGAGGTGCAGTTGCTCTGAAATTCAGCTCTCATGTTTTGGCCTACATTTTTTGCAAAAGTTACGCTTTGTACCAATTTAAATGCTGTGAAATTTCATCGAAGAGCGCTTGAAAAGCTTGGCTGAACAAAAAGAAGTCAAATATCTCTATTAGATAAGCAAAATAATTCACATAATAGTTTTTTTCAAAAGTTCCGCACTGAATTTAACGCAACGGTTCAATTTTTCATAAGAATCTTGAAAATTTTCAAGACCGAACATAATAATTTTCGCTCTGAATAAATCTTGCTTGAATTGGGAAACTCAGGCAGAAGAAAAGAAGGAAAGGGGTGAACGAAGATGTTCTAGAGCAGGAACTCGTTGAAGAGTGCTCATTTTCAATGAACGAGAGAATAGAATCGAAGGGCGCAAGTTCGAAGTAGAGAAAACGAAACTTTTTTTGCATTGCTAAAAAAACGATTTAAACTCAAAAAAATTGAAAAAAATTAAACTTTAACGACATTAAAGTTTCGCATTTTTTTTCTTTTATTTTTTGTTTTGATTAAGGAACATTTGTATTCATTAGTGCTACTTAACAGTTTTCTACAGTATGTGGGCTAGGCAAAACTTGCTTTTTTCTCACTACAAAGCTTGCACGTTTCTTTCTGTTTTTTTTCGAGATCACTGAAACCCTGATTGGTACTGCATAAACATAAATGGGCAAACCTAGTTTCAGGACCGCCGACCCCTCTCCAGGAAATTTTATTCAAAAAACAACGATTTTCGGAATCCCTAAGAGAAAACTTCAATTTATTTTCTGAAGTTTTTTTTTTGAAATTCTCTTAAAACATGTTTGAAGAAGTTAAGGAAAACTTTTTTTTCCTTAAAAAACCATGGAAAAAAATTTTGTCGGAAAAAAGCTTTTTCGAACCCTCTTCGTTCAAATAACCTATTAATGTGCACCTCTATCTGACAATCATAGTTGGACGCTCTTTCGGAGGCACTCAATATTTTAGCAATTGTTTGTATTTTGCATTCGCGTGCAAGAGGCGAGGATGTGATCTGTATGCCCTGACTGACCACGTTCGGACCTTGCCCATCTACATGTGTGCAAGATTTAACAAAATTTCGATTGAATTTTAAAATGTGTAGATATTGATGTGGCTTCTAAAACGCTCTCAAGAAAGAACCCTAATGAACACCAGAAGAATAATCAAAGAGGAAAAGCTATCGCACTCAGAAAATGACGAAAAAGTGTTTCCATGCTCGTTTGCGCTGTCCATCAAAATTTTAATATCGGGTCAGCAACCTTTTTTGATGGCTCAAGCCAGCCGTGAATCAGCTGTTTTCTTCAAATTTAAAGGAAAATCCATTTCGAACGCGTTCGTAAGGTCAGTTTTCTGATAATGCTTGGGTGGTATAAAAAAAGACCAGCGAAAATTCGAACAACGACTTTTCCCATTTTTCCATATCGCTAGAGAACTTTTCGACGGAGAACGATGATCATTTGTTCTTCGAAACTCAAAACCCAAGCCTCAAAAGTTTAACTGGTAACTTTGCCCTTAAATGAGTTCTCAATGTCTATTCTTTTAAGAATCAAGTTTGTATTAGTTATTTTCCGGGTTTTTCTCCCAGTGAAGTCGTTAGGGTGCAAACTTACCTATCGATAAAATTATGATTACTTAAAGACGTGAATGATGTGAATAACATGATTTTCAATTTTGGCGATCATGTAAAGCAAACTGATACATGACGTATCCAAGTCGTTGTAGAGAGCATGTCTCTCGTCGAAAGCGCGACAGGACGATCGTCGAAAGAATGGTGGATGGCCGAACCCCAAAGTTGCTGACGTTCGGCTGCCGAAATGGGTGACGCCGAACTTAGACATCGACCGCTGCCCATCCCTACAACAAGCCAAGTTGTCCCAAGTTTTATTTAATAAATTGCTTCATAAGCCCAAGGAGGCGCGCCGTAGCGCAAGAGTTTGTGTGCCTGTCTACGGTCCACAGGGTCACAAGCTCCTCATTTTTTCAATATGGTTTCGAGGGCATATGGGTAACGACGGCAACTAATTTTAAAAATTACTATGGTTGAATTCTGCTCCAATTTACTAGTAAAACAATGGTTGTCCAAAAGGTTGTGGGTCAGTTATAGTCAAAACAATAGGGAAGAAAGAGCCAAAATTTAGCACCGAAAGTTAAGATGTTACACATTTGCTCTGCTTTCCAACAAATTCCAGTTAAGTTCAATTTTAAAAAGTTTCTCAGTGGATGTAAAGTTTCTTACTAGATTTTTGTGCCTTTTGATATTACTGTGTTATTTTTGCACCTTCCTTGAGACCCATTCAAAGAGATTGAGGTAAACATACTAACTGGGAGAATAATCTATAGTCGGGGCAAATCAATCTCATTTAAATTTCATACACCTTCTTTAACATTGTCAAAATGATGCTGTTTATGCCTTCAAAAATTTGATTCATTCAAATAATAAAATCGGCGTCATGCATTTGCGCGTTGGTGGAATTGTGCATATATTCAGTTTTTGCCTACTTTAAAGAGATAGGTAGACTGGCAAAGGTGAAGCGTTGCGTGTGCGACGCGGCTTTTAGCGAGAAACACGAGGTGAAACTTAATCATGGAAAAAATTATTTAAAAAAAATTTTTCACTGTTTATTTCACTTTTATTCGTTCAACTGGATCATTTCAAACACAATTTTTTGGAAACACAATTTTTTGGAAAATTTTCTTATACAACGATCCAGGAAAAATTTCGAAACCGCGATGTTTTAAAACAAAAACAGCGCATCACCATTCTGAAATGAGTCAAAAAATCATGTGAGAAACTTGAAAAATGTTTTTCTTGTCACTTTATCGATGCTTTTTTGCTTAGGCAAAAAGAATTTTTTCGATATCCGTTAGAGGAGACTGTCAAAAAACGTTTTTTTGAGCCACAAAAAATAAAGCACTTTCGAATTTTCACTTTCACCAAAAAAAAAAAGAGCTATCCAACGAAGAAGAATCACTAGAAAAAAAAAATTAAACAAGCAGGAAATCACACTAAATCGAGCGAAAGAGCTTTCCAAAAAACGACAATACCCAATACTTCTTTTATCCGCCTTGCGTGTCTCCTTTCACCCCAAAAGCTCGTAAAAATTGCCCCTTCCTTCACGGAATAAGTAGACGTCGTTTGCAGCAGCAAAAAAAAATCCTCATTCAAAATTGAAAAATGGATATGCAGATTTAAGAATCTGGACAAACTTTCCCGCTTAAATTCTACTAGTGTTAAAAAAATTTTTCCGAGCGGAAAAGCAAAAAGATTTTAAAAAAATGAAATGATACGGGTATTGGAAAAATTATCGAGGAAAAAAATCCTTTTTTTCAAATTAAATTCGAATTACTGTTCGCTCAAATGTCAATAAAAAAATTAATTTTCTAGTCCTTCGATTTCCCTGACTTCAGAAAGATTTTTGTCAAAAGCGAGAGGAAGATGACGTCATAATATTCGAACAAAGTGAAGTCAGTTTTCATTCACTGCGATAGTGCAACGTAACTTTTTTTCTGTAGGATTTAAATGCAATTATAAAGAGATCCTTAGTTTGAACTATTTTTTCAATTTGGGAAGAAAAAACATAAATCAAGAAAAAACCCCTTGCAACATATATCTTCGGAGAAAGGAGCGGGTGGATGTGATTTGATTTTGCACGAAAGGGCAAAAAATCTTCCCAGAAACTCTTCTTTTATTTTCTAGCGACTTTCATTTAATTTATATATTCAGCTCACTTCTTGATAACCATACCGATACTTATTTATTATCTTCAATTAATAATTAATGGTCTGTCTATTCCCAGAAAAAACCAGAATTTGTGATCTATGTGTTCTTATTTATGACAAATTAACTCTTGTTCCTCCCATTAGCAATATCTATTCTTTAAAAACCCTTCGCTCGAATCAGATACTCAACTGTTTCCGTTAAAATCAACTGATCTATAGTTCAAAATTTTTATCACCTATGTAAGGCCTATTCTGGAACACTGCTCCGAAGTTTTCAACCCTCCCCTTAACTCTGATCTGTGCTACAAGCTTGAATCTCCTCAGAATTTTTTCTCGTAAAGTATTTATTAGGTCCAACCTATCTTTTGAATCATAGTCTGACCGGCTTCAGCAGTTTGATATCTCTCCACTCTAACTCAGACGAGCCATATCCGACATCATGACTCTTCATAAAATTGTTGTCGGTATCGATCCTTTTCCTCAGTTCGAACTTTTTGCTCTCAGATCAAATTTGCATTCTCAAGGTCTAGTTTCCAATGGTTTTTTTTAAAAACGATTCCCACAAACTCACCTCCAAATTTCAATTCAGCCACCACTCCCAGCCTTTGAAAATTTACTGGTCAATCTACCATTAAGATCTTTTTATACATTCCTCCAAGACTCGAATGATGTATAATTTTATAATGTATTATCTCAAATTATAAATCCAAGTGAACTTGTTACGGTTCACGCTGACCTGTCAATAAATTATCATTATTAATGAAACGTTCAAACGTTTTGAAACTCTATGAAGACGTTGAAAAGCATTTTGAGCTTATTTATATGACTATCCGAGAGTGACTCTTATTTCAGAAATTACTTCACGAGAGAAAAAAGTTCCTTGTTTATGAAAAAAATAATGTGAGACTAGAGAAAAACAGAAACTTCCAACTGTGTGGAGTGTCCCTACAAATGGAAATCCTCTAAGAATACGAAAATTCGTACGATGGTAAAATACAAATCGGGAGGCGGTTTTGTAGTCATTGTTATGATATCAACCTTCACAACAGTTGACTATAAGGATATTCAAACAAAAGGGGGAAAATTTTTTTTAGATATTTGAGAACCAGAGATATGGAGCTTTTAGTGATGGATAATTCGGCGTTTTTATTTGGCTGCCGCAGCACTATTTTGGCTCGTTTTCCCTTCATATGCAACTGTTTTCGATTTGTTTTTTTTTTTTGCTTAAAATAATGAGAAAGCCGCTTTGTTATTTTTTTACTTCACCGTTTTCAGAATGAAGGATTCGCTCGGAAAATGCAAGTTTAGATCCTAGACATGAAATGGCGCCCCTAAGCGTTTTTAAACGTTTACATTACAAAACCGACGTAGGCCGCCAATGTCGTTCCTTAATAAGTCGCTGCCTAGGGCGCCCGGGGCTAAAACCGCGATCGCAAAAAAACGCCATTGGAAGAAAAAAAGGATGCGAAAAATTGGAATTTTCTAAAATAATGTAAATTCGTTGTTTTCGAAGCTTCCAAATTAAATGTTACTTGAAATTTCTGATTTTGTGGCGGCGGGAATTTATTTTTTCAGCGAATCCCTAACCATAAATCTGAAAAATTTTTTTGCCTAAAGAATGAAAAAAATATGCCGAACTTCACATAGAAAAACTTAACTAGACATCATAACCACCGAAAAATTAAAAAAACTAATTTAAAAAAATTACGAAAACTGATTAAATGAAAAGTTTATATAAATGACAATTTTTGCCCAACTTTTGCAACGTGGTATTACACGCCATCGACACATAATGACGCGGCTCATTTCTTCTCAGAGGCCAGATGGCCAAGGCGGGCATGTTGCGCCCGTGAGGGCCCCTCATTTCTTCCACCTCTGGTTCAAACTCTCCCAAGTAGAGTTCTCAAAACCAAACGTTCGACCAAACATTTTCGAAAAAAATTGTTAAAGCCAAACTTCTGGTTAAAGTTTGAAATGAACGTTCTGTTAAAAAATGTCTTTTTATTAGGCGCAGACTTTTTTTTTAATAATAATAGTTTATTCACTGCCATAAAAAAACATTAGGTAGTATAGAAAAAGAGACTTGTTCTGCGCCATTTTGGTTTAGGCTGGGTTGTAAAAAAAAGGGCGTTTCGTTAACTTTTTCTCTTAATCGAATATGTTGTAAAACACAATTTTTAGGATTTTTTAAACACAAAACCGAATATCCTCATTTGGCTAGTTTTCGAGATACGGTAGCTCGAACCATTACGGTGAAAAGCTTCGAAAATCTATATCTCGACAAAATATCAACGAATCTCCATCAAAGTTTGTCACAAGGTGCAAAAAGAATTTTTATGCAATTTTTAAAAAAATTCAATTACTCATGCTCGCTCATTATTTCTCATATTAAAAAATTTTTCTCGAAAAAAACGAAACCAGTTTATGACGTTGCGGTCCGGCGTTTTGTCTAGCTTTCATCAAAACCACAAAAAAAATTCTAGGTCCGGGAACCGAAAAATTTTGTATGCCCTGAGATGGAAATTTTCGAGGTTTTTCGCTCATAACTTTTTTCGAGATCACGTATCTGGTCGAAACAAAGTTTTTTGTCTCCGTTACGGTTACCATAACAAGGGGCATACACCATTCTAGGTTAACTAAGAATTTTTTTTAAAAAAAGGCCATTTTCAAAAACCCCACGGAGGAAAAGATTTCGTTTTAGGTTCGCAGTTGAATAACGTTCGAAATTGTTCAAACCGTATTTAGAAACTGTATTCATATCCTAATGAAGAGATGGTTTCTAAAAAATAATTTATATAGGAAAGTGTAAAAATGAGAAGTTTCGAGTTGTGAAAAAAATTCAAGGCAGTAAATCACTAGGACATGTTTTTTTCGGACAGTAAAAATGTTGAGATTTCATTTCCATATCCATGGACATGTTTCTTCAGACATTTTTTCCGCTTTCAGCACATTAAAATATTTAAAGGAATCCTGCCGATGCCAACAAAACTCGGGAAACCCAGTCGCCATCGTGGAGGAACCACGAAACAAAAGGATTTGGGTTTCCCCCCCAATTTTTCAAAATTTAATCAACCTGAACTCAACAAAAGTTTGAAAATTCATTTCATCGAAAACATTTTCACTGAAAAACATATTCCTAAATTGTGTGCCTTACTGAAAAATAACTAATTACCATCCTGATCCATGAAAAGAAGCTTCAGAAATCATATTTTGATTAAGTTGAATGTTTAACCTTTTGAGGCCTCAATAACTCTAGTGAAGCTTTTAATGACAGAAAAACTCAAGTTTTTTTGGCGCACAATTTGGGAATATGTTTTTCAGTGAAAATGTTTTCGATGAATTGAATTTTCAAACTTTTGCTGAGTTCAGGTTGATTAAATTTTGAAAAACTCCGGGGGAAACCCAAATCCTTCTGTTTCGTGGCTCCCCCACGATGGAGACTGGGTTAAAGTTGGCTTTTTAACGTTTAACCAAAATGAAAGTTCATTTTTCGTTTACAAAATGTTCGTTCAAAAATGAACGCTTTTTTTCCATGTGAAAAGCAAACGTTCATTATTATATAAAAAAACAATTTTCGAAGTTTTTTTGGTTTAACGTTTAAAAAAATGATATATCCGTAAACTTTCGAAAAATGAAAAAGTTCATTTTTTTAAACGCTCATTTTTCGAAAGTTTGGTTTTGAGAACTCTACTCCAAGGAGTCAAGTTTAACAATGACAGAAACAAGAAAACGAAAGAAGTATTCGAGTATAATATAGTCAGTGTTTCCCGACTTAAGAGGCGAGGGAGGCGGGGCAGGAGGCGTAGCGTGTGCGTACGCGGTTCTTGGCGCGTGTTCAATTCAAGCGCACCGACTATTCAAAAAAAGCTCCGTCACCGCTCTTTTTTATATGATCTAATATTTTTTTAATGCACGCATAAAAATCAATGAATAAATTAAAAAAAGAAATGAAAAGAGCGATAAACGAGCTCTCCAAACAGTCGCTGGCGGTTGAATTGAACTCCTGCCAAGAACCGCGTACGCACACGCTACGCGTCCCGCCTCCCTCGCCTTTCAAGTCGGGAAACATTGACTATAGAAAACTACAAGAGTCTAATACTTTAATTTTCGATTTTCTGTCGTAAAAGACTCATTTATCTTCAGAACGACGCAGTGTCACACCCATGACACACCGCGGTAAAATGAATTATAATTCCGTGTATACACTGCGACGCATAATTATAGACCCACCCTAATTTCTCCGATTTTAATAAAGATTGAAAAAAACTTTCAGCCACCAAACTTTTTTTTGTGATAAACCTTGTTGATAAGGAACATAATCATATCATAATTATCAATCACCCAGTTGAAAAGTTTTTCAAGATACGAGAAAATCTGATTTTTGACCGACGCAGAATTATAGACCCACTATAAGTAATCAACAAAATGCATTTCACAAAGTCAACGAAGTATAACAAAAAAATTAATTAATAATGTGTGATGCCTCCTTGTTTCTGAGCGGCTTCGAAAATCCTGTTCGGCATGCTGCCAACGTGTGATTGCAGCAGTGACTTGTCCAAACTATCCCACTCGGTACGAATCGCTCTTTTCAGATCGTTGACCGTTGTATACTGCTTGGCATTCGCGTAGACCCTTCGTACAAGGACTGACCATAAATTCTCTACAGGGTTGAGGTCAGGACTGCACGCGGGCCGGTGGTATGAAAAAAACACCAGCGAAAATTCAAACGGTGACTTTTCCGATTTTTTCATATCCCTAGGGAACTTTCCGACGGCCACCTTTCCGACGAAATTTTTTCCGACTTTTTTTCCTTATATTTTTCTGTTTATAAGACATCTATTTACATTTTTTTTTCCTATTTCTTTGTGTTTTAATCATGAACCAACTACCTACTTCATATAGGAAGATTTAAAACGAAGATTTTATCGAGAAAAAAAGTCGGAAAAAGATTAGTCGGAAAGGGGGCCGTCGGAAAGTTCCGTAGCGATTTGAAAAAATCGGAAAAGTCGCCGTTTGAAATTTCGCTGGTGTTCTTTTCATACCACCCGCGGGCCAGTCCAGAAGAACCACGTTATTGGCCGCAAACCAAGCCAATGTGGAGTTGCTCGCGTGAACAGATGCATTGTCTTGTTGGTAAATCATATTAGAACGTCGTCGGCGACGGAGATAGGGCAGGAGATGCTGGGCAAGCAGTTGCTGGTAGTCTTGCGAATTCGTTCTGGTCCCAATAAAATAAAGAGCTACCGTCCCGTAGCCGCAGAAAGCCGCCCAAACCATGAGGCTGCCGCCGCCGAAGTTTCTCTTGGAGAAGTACATCGGATCTTTCCTCAGAAGAGAAGTACATCGGATCTTTCCTCAAATCTCTCCAGTAGTGAGCGTACCCATCTGGCCCATCAAGGTTGAACTTCTTCTCGTCGCTGAAGATGATCTGAACATAAAAATTGGGAATCATAAGGTGATAGAAAACATTGATACCTTATTCCAATCCGTGGCCATGTTAGAGCGTGCAAACTGGAGCCGTTCATTCTTATGGCGTTGCTGTAGACGAGGTGCTGCCTTCATTGGAGTATTCACAAGTCGACCGGACCGATGAATTGTTCGTAAGATGGTGTTCTTCGAGATGTTTTCAGGAATTTCGGATCTGATTTGGTTGGCGGGCTTCGTAGAGTTTGATGCTTTTCGACAGACGTCTCGTTCAGCTTGAACCGATAGCAGCCTGTGCCGTCCAGAATGTATTGCTGTGCCGTATTCTTGCGGATTCCTTGCACAACGGTCAATAGTTCGTCTTGAGCGACCCGTTTGACGAGCGATTTCCCGATGGGACAAGCCGTTGTTGAGTAGAGCATCGATTACCGCTTTTTCGGTATTATCAAGTTGAGTAGATTTAGGCATTATGGCTGATACACGAGGACTTTTTCTCTTATATACCACTGAAAAAAAACAGGAAAAACGTGTTACCGGAAACGTAAACTCGGAAAACTCTGGGGTGGGTCTATAATTCTGCGTCGGTCAAAAATCAATTTTCTCGTATCTTGAAAAACTTTTCAACTGGGTGATTGATAGTTATGATATGATTATGTTCCTTATCAACAAGGTTTATCACAAAAAAAGTTTGGTGACTGAAAGTTTTTCAATCTTTCTTAAAATCGGAGAAATTAGGGTGGGTCTATAATTATGCGTCGCAGTGTAGTCTTCACTAGAAGTGATCGCTCTCATTTCAAGGCTCCAACCTGAAGCACGCTCTCCGGGCTCCAATACAAGATCTACTGCATTCTGAGCTCGTCGAAGGGCAACTGGATGGGCTACACGCAGAAAAACGAGGCGAAGGACCGTAAGACCATGCTTTCAACTTGATCAACTACAAGTTTCGAGTTTTAGTTCGTCGAAGGCGGTTGCTCGTTATAGTCATACAGGGAATGAGCATGACTGGCGACAGCCAAGTCCCCCACTCCCACTATGCTCGAAGAAAAAAAAGTTTTTTTTATTTAACGAACTCGAATTACAAGCTGACGCCGGAGAATGTAAAAATTTTTTTTTTCGAGTCCTTTTAATAAAAATTGATTCTGCCAATCAACTGAACTTTTCGCAGTGAAATTTGGTTTTTATAATTTCGGACTAGCGCCGTCCAACGCGCACTCTGACAGTTTTTACGGTTTTTTTGCCTATGAATGAAACAAGAAAGTCGAAAGAGTTGAAAGCATAGTATTACTGTCCTTTCTCTCGTTCTTCTGCGCGTAGTTCATCCAATTTAATAAAAAAAAACTTCGAAAATACCGAAAAAGATCTTACTCTACGGAACCCTTCTAAAACACTCGAAGCAACTAGCCCTCATAATTTCTAAGAAACGTCCGTACGTTTCGAAAACTGATTCAAACAGACCGCCTTGTGAGTTTCGCATCGTCTGGGCAACGACAGAGCTGAACGACATTTTCGGCGAAACATGCAGTCGTGACGGTGGAATTGGCTGCCCTTAAAGTTTACTTATTTCATTATTGACAATGGAAAGACTCAAAATTCGATGGATTCAAATTTTCTTTGCTTCTAAAATATCTGTACTTTCAAGTCTCCTCGATCCATGAAAAAGGCTCCGTGATTTGCTGAAAACTCAATTATTTTTTTATTGAGCGTTTCATTAGGGACCGCAAACCACTTTTTCAAGCTGATCTAAAAAATATGTTTTTACACTTTTCGATAGAAAAAATTGTCTATATTCATAATCAGTTTAGTTTAAAAAAAAAAGTTGATCAAGAAAAAAGTTATGACCAAAAAAGAAGCGCGCGCGGCGTTCAACTGGAGACTCAATCTCACAGTTTACCCGCTGCCGCACGCTTTTTTTAAAATACATTTTACGCATTTCTGGACTGTTTTCTGAGCCACACACTGATAACTTGAAAAACGAACCTGGTGGTTTTTCAGTAGTCGGGGTGAGCGTCGCCACTGTTGCTGTATAACGGGGAGGCCTGGCAAAAAAGGTCGCTCAAATCAAAGAAATAAGGGAAAAGTTACTTTTCATCTCTAGATACTTTCGGTCCAAGACTTTCCAATGCCTCCTTCGTCAGACCTGGCGTCTCAGACCCGTTGAAATCAGCTTGTGAACTGAAAATTAAGCGTTATTCTATCAAGCTCTCATTTACCTCCCGAGTAATCGGACTTGATTTCCTTTTTTGTAACCTTTTCTCTTTTTTTTCCACACCAAATTCACAGTGTTCCTAACTGGGCGGAAAGCGTGGGCGTGTCTTTATGCAGCTGGCGCGCAGTATTTCCGTTTGGTGGCGAATTCACCAGGAATAAAAGGTTTGTCACATCAGAAAAAATCGACTTTCAACTTTTGAAACAAAAATGCAAACGGAAAAGCTTTCACGAAAAAAGTTATAACTCAAAATTCAAATTTCATGAAAATTTTTTGAAAAAAAACAACAGTCGAAAGTACTTTAAAAATCTGTGAAGCACTTCAAAAACATATAAAACCAATTATAGAACATTGAAATAAGTTTAAAGGTGAAAAATACTCTGAAAGAAAGCAAGAAAAGGAGAAAAAATAACTTTTAATTGGATAAAGTTTTGGGAGATAGACGGTAGCGAGAACACGCGACGCACCGGGGTTAACCGCGTTGCGTACGAAGAACTCGCGTGGGCGCGATTTTTGCTCTCCCCTGTTTGAAACACTGTGAGTCGAGTTATGAAGTTTTCAGTGATGCGCGATAAATCAGGCGTCTACCCATTTCTCGGCCGTCGCCAAAATATATTTGGCTTGGTTTTGTTTACCATTTCAAAATTAAAAAAAAAATCACTCATATATTAATTTTCGTCAGGGGTAAATGCACAAGAAAAATTACATCTGACGACTTTTTTGTGGGTGGCACGTAGCTCTGGGAACGCCGTGATTTCATGCGAATTAATTGTGTGCGTTTCCAACGAGTTAAGAAGGACGAATTGATACTCACCTCTTTTTTATTTTTCCGAATTAAGAGTTATTTCATATATTTTTTTAAAATCAATTAATTGATAGTTTCTAAACTTCTTTTATTGTTTATCAAGTTACCTACCGAAAAAAAAACGATATTGTTGACTTTTCGCGTTTTAACTACAGTACGTATTAGTTCAAGAGACAGTACACAAGAGAACCAGAAAAAAACCCATAAAAATAAGGGTAAGAAACTTTGAAACAAAAAACAGAAGTGAACAAAAAAAAGGTTCGCTATAGTCTGTTCAGATTTCAAATGTCAAGTCTTCGCTGAAGCTCCGCCCCCTAATGGCGCGATAAACCAATCAGAGAGCGAGCCATCCACAGAGTGTTTTTGAATGACGTCATTCTACTTGACATTCAAAATCTGAACAGACTATATCGAGTTTTTGGCTAGCAGTCCGCAGACACGCGATAACTTGACGCGCGGTTTTGCGGCTTTCGAAATCGTCGCTGTCGAAAATTTCTTTTATTTATTTTTCGTACAGAATATTTTTGAAAATGGAATAAATGTGTAATTTGTGAATGTCTATACAATGAAAGGAGATATACCTGGTTTTCCAAATGACGCTCGCTTGATTTTGTTCAGATGCGTTGTTGGACAACAGTAATACGGGATAGTGCGAGACCTGAAAATAGCGAAATACATGGCGTTTTAAAAAGGTCGCGCAGTTTTAGAAGACGTTTCTCCGCGTAGATTTACGTTCGCGTGTAAATTTTTCTGACTATTACATTCTGTAAAACTGTTTCTTTCTGAGAATATCGTTCGTGCTCATGACGATGAACGCGAGGAAACCCAAAAAATTTATGGGAGCTTATTAAGAGTGAAAGATTAGCGATTTTTCGAAAAATTAGTTTTTTGCTCCAAAACCTTGTAAACTAGCTTTTTTTTATGAAAAATTACTACGGCGAACTGTGAATCGAACAATGGAGAATAAGATTAAATCAAAGGAAGTTTTTTTGAATTAAGCTTGAAATAAAAAAATTAAAGCTTTTTTTCGAAAGTTTTTTTCGTGGTGAAAAAAATCGTAATTTTGGTGGCGTGAAGGGGCGGGGCATTGCGCTTTCTAATTAAATCACTAAAAGTTAGTCTTGTTTTGAAAAATTTTTTTCACGGTGTACTATCCTTAAAAATGATAGAGAACAAGATAAAACCACAAAACTAGTTCCAATAAAAGGCCAAGGTTCAAAATTTAGACGATTTACGAAAACTTAAAACTTCGAGAAATCGGAAACAAGAAAAATCATGTTTATTGAAAGATGTTCGTTTCAGTTATTAACAACTCTGTAGAAAAAATGGAGCAAAAAGATCTGAAAACAACGAAACAAAGTGAAAAAACAAAAAAAAAAATGAATTGAAAAATAATAAATAATCATCTGCAGGCTTGTGCGAGGGCCGGCCCTGTCAACCTCTTTTCCCCCAGCCACTCCCCAAGCCCTGGCCCGGCCCGGCCCTAGGGAGGCCTTGAGCAAAATTGGCCGGCCCGGCCCAAAAAACTCAAATTATTTTTTCTCATAGAGTTATTAGAAACTATGATTCAACAAGTAAGAATAATTTTTCCGTGAAACTTTTTCAAAATGAAGTTTAAGATTCCTTTCGAAGCCCTGCCTGGCCCGAGCTCACGCAGGCTTTCTTTTAAATTGTAGGCCCAAAGCCCGGCCTGACGCACAAGCCTGATTATCTGATAAGAAGTGTGCGATGGCGCAAACTTGCATTCTCCTACCGTACTCCGCCGTTAGATCTTTTTCATCAGGGCAAATTTATCGCATGCCAGTTTTTCTATTCACCTACACCCTTTTTGAACGCCGTGATATAGTCGATGTGCCACAAGTTGAAATTTCATGGAACAACACTCCGCTGTTTCGATTTTGTGCGGTAGCGCGCATCTTGCGAGTTTGCCAACCTCGGCCACGCAAATTTTTTTTTGGTTTTCATTCTAATTTCGATCGTTTTTTTATTGTTTTATTTCTTTAAAATGTAATATTATCGTTGAAAAGGATTGCGTTGTACAAATGTAAAAAGAAAGAACACAGTAAATTTCATGACGTTTCTCGAAAAAAAGCGATTTAAAAAAAGTTTGAAAAAACTTCATGTATTCTTCAGTCGCTTTAATATTGTTTTTTTCTCATTTCTCAAAAAAAGTTTTCAAAGACTTACCAAAAAGGATTTGCGGGTGAAATAGGCCGTAAACGCCACAATATTTTTACAATAGTTTCTGTGTTTTTTAAAGCCATGTTTTAATGTTTTCATCGTTTTTCTGTTTGCAGTCGTTAATTGTTTTTTTCAGAAAGTGAGCGCCTTATAAAAATGAAGATGCGTACTTCCATGAGCACATGCACCATAATTTGAAGAAAGGTTTTTCGTTCCTTTTTTTAAATGGAGCTTTAGATAAATCGTATTGCTGAACTATGCGTCAGAAATGGGGCGTGAACAGGGAGCACTTGGAACAGTGGAAACGATGTGCTGAACGAAATGTCCAGCAAACTAATAATTTTTTTCCTTTGAACTTATGTATCTGTTTTTTTAAATAAAAAAATTCGTCAATGTAGAAACATTCAATTTTTAAAAAAATCATTCACTGTGTATTTTATTTCTGATTGGGATATTTTTTTACATGATTTGAAATGAAAAAGTCGATAAAGGCTCAATGAAGGTAAAAATAACGGAATATATTGAACAAAAACCAAAGACCATCTCATGAAAAAAACTTTCAAATATTATAAACGCATTTTTTTCGCTTAAAAATTCGCAAATTACTCTACTTTATTTTTTTATCAATGAAACAGTCTATCCACTAGAAAAAGATAATTATGAGTTTGGCACGAAGAAAACTATTAAAAACATGATTAAAATAATGAAAAATTTCGAATAAAAAAATGGAAAGCGCGACCGAAATTCGCAAAGGCAAGGCGCTTTCACGGCCACGGCCACCCAACGGAGTGTCGTTCCATGAAATTTCAAGTCGTGGCACATCGACTATATACGACATGTTTTTCTAATTTAAAAAAATGATGACATAGGCATGCCGTTGAAAATTGTTCGCGAACCTTCACTGAAGTTTTAGATTCGAGATATTTTTGTGCAAAGTCAACTTCTTCATTTTTTTCTGTCGAGAAATGTTTTCTTTTTAGTTTTTCAAATAACGGAGATTATTATTATACCTGTAGGGACGGATATTTCTTCCCGAGCATCGCGCCATACTTTCTGTGTTGAGATATCGGCGGATGCGGTTGATTATTGGAGGGCGACGCGGCTGGAATCATTTTTCTTTTCTATTTCGAGCTGCATGACTAAAAAAAAGTCATGTAACGAGGTTCCTGAGAGCTTCAACTCGTTCATTATAGTTCACTGATTCACCAGAAAACAAAACTACGTTACAATTTTGGCAATTTCTGGAATTCAAATCATTTATCGATTCCAAAAAACATATTGACGATGAACTTATTAAAAAAAATGAAAAAAAAAAATTACCAGCAGACTCAGCACAAGCAGAACCGCTAGAGATCGATTCATCTCGTTTCAGTTGAAATTTTGGCTCTTTCAGTCCCATTCTGCCTTTTTTGCTAAAATTGGATAGCTGTAATTTAGTATTTTCCTACCAATAAAAGGAAAACAATTGAAGTATTCTTAAATGAGGAACAATTTTCCGAACAAGCCAACGCGATTATGATTGCAATTAGCTCAAGATATATTGAACGTAAACAAAAAAGAGAAAAGAAAAATATAAAACAAAGAATGGGATGCATGAGACGGCGTTTTTGATAAAGAAACAAAAAAAATTCTGAAAAATATCTCGAGACAAGTTCCAGACATTTCGAAAAAAAGAAATACACCTTATTTTGTCAAAATAAAACTTGGAGCGAGGAAAAGGCAAAATTGTGAAAAAAAATCTTCTTGAAGAGATATTACGCAGACTCCAAAACTGTGCGTGGATTCAATCGCTTTCGGCATGTTTCTTCTCTACGGGGAAGTCATATTTTAAAGGCATAGAGGCAGTAAAAAACAGGGTTTCCGGTGAAAGCAGTATCTTGTATAGTTTTTCTTTGCGAATCGAATGGTGTACTCAAAAAAATTACAGATGTGACAACTTTAGAAGAAAAACGCGATTTTACTTTCCCGCCTTTAAGTTTGAAAAAAGCTTTGGATCGGCCTACGGACAAATGTTTACAGTAGCCGTGCACGCGATGTTGCGGACGTCTCATCAGACTCGCATTTTGGGAGGTATAACCGGATTTGTGATTCAAATTAAGGGTTTCTTTTCTGAAAAATCGATTAAGAAAACAGAAAACACACATTGATAATAAAGAAAACACAAATAATCGCTATCCCCATCGAGACCTGTGTAAAATCATCATTTTTCACCAGAAAAGCTTTTTTGCGATCAAAGTTTGCAAATTATACATGAATAGAAAGTTTTTGTGACGAAAAAAACTTTGGTTACGACAGAAAAAATTGAAAATTGAAAAAAACGAAGAAAAAAGCGAAAATCCGGAAGATGGCGAAGCCTGCTGTCCATAGAGCAACTTTACTGCAAAGCGCTCTTTTTGCGGCAACTCAAACTTTCCTCTCTCCGACTTTGAATTATTTTTTCTCCAAAACTAGGAACTTCTGTACGTTTCCAAGTTCACCGTTCGATTCGCAATGAAAAGCTCTACAAAGTACTGCTTTGAACTGAAACACCGTTTTTTACTGCCCCTATGCCTTTAAGCCATATTTTTTTCTTTTCCACATAAAAAAGTCTTTTGTATCTCGAAATTTCTTTCTCAAGATCGAATGCATCTCGAGACGAGACGAGACTGTCAATTATTGATCGAGACGAGATCTGGTCTCGAAAAATCTGTTTGACACGCGCATCCATGATCGGAATGGCTCGTATCAAACACAGTACGGATTTCTTCACAGAGGGACTCGATTAAATTTTTTTCAGCTAGAAGAGTAAGAGAAAAAGAAGCCAAAAAAAACTTCACATGAGAAGACAAAAAATAGCTAATCACCCTTTTTTTTTACTGCGTCAGTCAAAACGTTTCGTAAACTATGATACTTGAGGTGTAAACTTGAAGAAACGCACTATCGCTTACTCCAATTGTTTCTGGAGTTCGCGAAACGTTCTCAAGTTGAAGAAAATGATGCAAAAAATACAATAAGCCATGAAAATTTACTAGGGAACGTTTTTTTTTTTACTTTTGTTTGAGTTTTTGAGAAAAGTCTGCTAATGTGTACTTTAAGACCTGATTTCAGAAAAAGAAAACAAATTTTCGGCAATAGATACTGTTTTCAACAAATGTAAACTCTCTTTCTTTCGAAATTGGAGTTGATTCAGTTGTTGAGCGAACTAGGCAAGCCAGGTTTCAGTTAATTCCATTTGATCTCTCCTCAAAATGATGACATGAGAACCATTTTCTAAGGATTTGAAGCCCTTTGTTAACATGTGACAAGAGAGGCGGCGGCTGTGGCCCTCGCCCTCTCTCTTGAATTCCATCTCACCCTGGTGTTGTAAGATCACCGAGCCCTATGGAATAAGAATCTAAAGCCTTTTTTTCCTTCTCCATTCGAAGATAGTTACTACTTTGAAAAACATCCAAGGAGAAGCAGACGTCTTTACCAGAATGCGCGATCACGATGTATCAGTTCAAGTGTACAAGGAGGCGTTCGTTAAGGCGACAAAATTATACCTGATTTGTTCAACCTCAAGCACATCTTCCGAAGGCTTATAAGAGAAAAATATGGGTTTCAATGATTTGAATAATCTTGTCGCACCTCTCTTTTGCGGATGACGTTTTTCTGTTTACATAAAACGCGCAGAAGATTCAAAAAAGGCTAAAAAATTGGCGAAAGAGAGTAAGAAAGCCGGCTTGGCAACAAACCTATTTTTAGGGAAGGAAAAGAGCCAAAAAAGGCTAATTAACCTCATAAGCATTCTAATCATTTGCATGACTTTTTGCAAAAGATGGAGATGCAAGGAAAGGCAGTTCAAAGTTCAAAACTGAAACTTCAAGGAGTTTTTAATCTCATGAGACTTTGCTCAGACACAATAAACTAGCTTCTGTTTTTAATTGAAATATTTGACTTTCAGGTTACCTTAGTTCTTTAGCGATAAGCAAAAAACGAGTCGAAAAAAGGCAAGCGTAAAAGCAAATGCTGTGCAATTATGAAAGGGCGACTCTAGTGAAACGTCATTTTCATCATTTCGAAGCACCCCGGGGCCAATTATATGGGCTTCTCAGGAGCTCGATAATCATGCGGTTCTGGGCAGGATGAAAAAAAAACAACTTCTCTTACTTACTTTTTTTTATATTCGTTCTTTTTCTTCTTTATCCATGATCTCTTGCAATCATGTAAAGATGAAAATGTGCTTCATACCTGGAAGGAACAAGAAAAAGCAGAAGTAGGAAAAAAGGCCGATAATAACGTTTCAGAAAGTAGACAAAGAAAATTGCCTTTGAAATTCTTCACACGTTCGCTCGATAGGGAATTCGGGGTTCTAACCTCCTATTTCGAAAATTTCAACAGCGGTTTCTATTTAGCGTCAAAGCAAAGAAAATAAAATTATACGTAAGACAGTGAAAGAAAAGCAAAAGGCAACTTACAGGAACTTTTCTATCTCTGTTATATCCCGCAAAGATGAGAAAAGAAAAAAATTAAAGTGAACAAGATGGATTTTAAGAAAGTGAGAAAAAAAAATCGATGGAGGGTTTGTGGGTGATGGGTAGGCAGAGAGATATCATTTGCCAATTGTTGCTCCGATTTTTAGCTGTCTGGAAGAGACAAATTTTAGTAGAACGAAGTATCAAGTGCTGATGGTTTTAAAGTTGCCTATCAACGTAATTGAGAAGGTAGCAAATTTCCTTTTGGTAAATTCTTCTGTTCTATGAGTTTAGCTGAAAGAAAAAGTATGATTGACTTTCGCACTGGTCAATCGGCATATTGACAGAATCTCACAAAGTTAACGCTCAAATTTATTCGGGATATGCTGACGGTCAATCAATAAATAGAGTATATACATAGGCGGTGGTGTGAAAAAAAGACCAGCGAAAATTCGAACGACGACTTTTCCGATTTTTTCCTATCGCTAGGGTACTTTCCGACGGCCACCTTTCCGACAGAAATTTTTCCGACTTTTTCTCGATAAAAATCTTTTTTTAAATCTTCCTATATAAAAGTAGGCAAGTTATTCATGATTTAAACACAAAGAAATAGGAAAAAAGTTTATAGATGTTTTATAAAGCGAAAAAAATATAATGGAAAAAAGTCGGAAAGGGATTCGGCGGCTCACATAGTCGTGCAAGTCTGTGCGAACCTCGAGTTTTAGAGATGAAAGTATTCAAATTCCGCTTTTTATAACAAAAATAAAGGTCTGAAATCCATGTTCCGAAACTTTAAAAAAATCTTTAAATTAGAAGTATGCGGAAATAGCGACTATGTCTATGTCGGTTTGTTCAGGCAGTTTGAATAAAGGCTTTACTCACGAACTGCAAAAAAGATACTATTTATTAAAAAGTGCAAAAACGGAGAGTCTACAAAATGGCCGCAAAAACAGCCGTTTCTGCTGTCTTTTTGCAGTCTTTCTTCTTTGGCTAAAATTTTGAATCCCCAAGAAAGAGCGAAGGAAGAGAGAGACAGTGAAAAGGGTAGGAAAGTGGTAAGGAGGTGGTGGGAAATGGGAGGTGGTTTGAAAAAAAGCCAGCGAATTTTCGAACGGCGACTTTTCCGATTTTTTCATGGCACCAGGGAACTTTCCGACTTTTTTCCTTATATTTTTCGCTTTATAAAACATCTATTAACTTTTTTTCTACTTCTTTGTGTTTTAATCATGAATCAATGAACTACTTCAAACAGGAAGATTCAAAAAGAAGAGTTCATCGAGAAAAAAAAAGTCGGAAACTCCTCTGTTGGAGTTCCCTCGCGATAAGAAAAAATCGGAAATGTCGCCGTTCGAATTTTCGCTTCTTTTTTTCATACCACATTTTTTTCGCTTGTTTTCAATTTTTCAAAAAGATTTATTGCCGAAAGCTTCAGGACACCAAAAGCTATCGATACATAAAAAATGAAAGCAATCTTTTAACATTCATTATTCACTTCGGCGCCTATAATTACACATTGCTCAAAACAAGCGCTTCTAGAATTTAGGACCCTTTTTTTCAGTAATTCATTTACTCACAGGCGAACCGCGTCATGGTGACTTCTTCAAATAGTCATATATGCCTTGTGGACTTATACGGCAAGTCAGCCAATAGCTGCCAATCTTTGAGGCCACATGCGATGAAGTGAAAACTTATTTTCCGCCTTTTTCCTGGAAAATAAAAAAGCCTCAAGCCTGTTTTTTTGTTTGCATCGAAACTTTTTTTTCGCCATCTCAACTTCGTAGTAAATCATGACAAAAGAAAAAGTAGGATAATGTTGTTTTATAATGCCTCTCAGTTTTTTCGAGAAAGTCGACGGCAAATGGTTTTCCACTTCAATACTTTCGGGTTTTTATAATATGAAGTTTTTTTTTCAATTATAATCTACAAACTAATTTTTAATATTCGCAGTTATTGTTCAATTACGCTA